CTGGGCACAGAAACCAACAAGTGGAATATTTCGGAAGTACTAAAAAAACCCAGCAGGGTAACACAGAAAAGTACCGGAAATTCCGCTTGTTGAAAGGCACTGCGTCCAGTCACGTAAAGCACACGGGAATGGCTGGTGGCTACTTTGACCTACCTATTTCCTCTTCAAGGCCCCGAAGCCTTACCGATCTGTCCGGAAGGACAGGCAGATCCTCTCAAGGGCCGCGTATATCCTCTCTCTCGATCCCCAATGAGAGGCTTCAAGAGAGTGCAGCGGACCCTAGCGGCGCCCAGGGTAGATTCCGGAATGCTAGAAACCCCAAAAACGCGAATCGCGTCAAATTTACTGTCAGCGAAGCTGGTCTTGGCGACAGTTCTTTCGGATCGACGTCAGAGACCCGGCTTGAGGGAAGGGGTTCATCATTGCCCCAAAGACCGTTACCCACAGCTCGCATTCCAGTCGCCGACAAGGTCACGGCCAACCCCCAATCAGTGCCCTTGATCGATATCAGTCCTGGCTCACCAGTCGGTGTCACGGGCCTAACTGTCCAGTCAAGGGCTAGCTCGCCGGAGATTTATGGTGATGATGAAGTCAGAAATGAGAAGGGGAGAGCTATCCACTCTGCGCAAGAGAGGGCCCAGCGATTGGCCACCTTACTCAGTCGTTCTCCTAGTTCTCATAGGCCAAGCCGTCGGAGCAGTCTGCCGTCATCCATAGACTCGACTCCCTCCGAGGTGGTGCTGCCCGCTGAGCTTGGAGATGAAATTCCCATGATCAGCCTGACCGAGAAAAATTCCGACGACTATTCAGACGACGATGAAGTTGGCCCCCTAAACGGTCGACACTCCACGCGTTCTTCCGAAGCTCACAAACTAGTGCAACAAATGACTCTAAAGGATTTCAACTTTCTGACCCGGCTTCAAGCCCCGTCTCCAGGGTTTCGCTCTGGACAGGTTACTCCCCTCGAAGACAGGGATTCCGAAAACTATGTCGAACGTCCTTCTCAGTATCGGAGTGGGATTCTCTCATCTCTGCTGAAGCTTCACGAGCATTCGGATGGTCACTATTCTATCGGACGTCATGGACGTTCTCGCCGAAGTAGTGCCGGGGAAATCAGTGGTAGAGGGCTGTCTCCTGATCCAAGTTGGAAGTCCCAACGCCCGAGGAAATGGTACGAAAAATCGCCGAGCCAGTCTAGTCTGTCTCTAGCTGGTTCCACCGCCAAGAACTCATCTAGCTCCCCTGTCGCGATGCTCAAGCGCTCACGGAGCAGTGGTGCGATACCAGGTGCACCTAAGCGAATGGGCAAGCCACAGCTTGAGGATGAGATCCGGATTACAGTGCATATCGCCGAACTTCTCTCGCGGCAACGGTATTGCATTCGCCTCTGTCGGGCTTTGATGAAGTATGGGGCACCAACGCATAGGTTAGAGGAGTATATGAGGATGACGGCACGGGTGTTGGAAATCGACGGCCAGTTTCTCTATTTCCCGGGATGCATGATCATCTCCTTTGACGACGCTGCCACCCATACGACGGAGGTGAAAGTGGTGCGGGCGCCTCAAGGTGTTGACCTGGGTAAGTTGTCCGATGTACACCTTATTTACAAGGAGGTGATACACGACGTGATCGGGGTGGAGGAGGCTATTCAACGGCTGGACGAAATTATGAAAATGAGGAACAAATACCCTGTCTGGCTTCTGATTCTGCTGCATGGCTGTGCTAGCGCCTGCGTTGGCCCCTTTGCATTCAGTGCCCGACCCATCGATATGCCGATCGCGTTTCTGCTTGGATGCCTCTTGGGGACCCTGCAACTTGTGCTATCTCCACGATCAAACCTCTATCAAAACGTCTTCGAGATATCAGCGGCTGTTCTGACATCCTTTCTGGCACGGGCTTTTGGCAGCATTCGCCATGGAGATGGGCGACTGTTCTGTTTCTCGGCTCTGGCCCAGTCATCAATTGCGTTGATTTTACCAGGTTATATGGTACTGTGTGCCAGTTTGGAACTACAGTCCCGCAGCATTGTGGCCGGCTCCGTCCGGATGGTGTATGCCATTATATACTCTTTATTTCTTGGATTCGGTATCACAATCGGCACTGCGGTGTACGGTCTTCTCGACGCCGATGCCTCCTCCGAATACACCTGCCCCCCGAGTCCCATTACCAACGAGTACGTGGGACGCTTCCCCTTCGTTATCCTTTTCACATTCTGTCTCGCTGTAATCAACCAAGCGAAGTGGCGACAGATGCCGATGATGCTGGCCATTGCATTTACGGGGTTCGTGACCACCTACTTCGGCGCCAAGCGATTCTCCACAAGCACCCAAGTGTCTAATGCTCTGGGAGCGTTTGTGGTCGGTGTGATGGGGAATCTTTACAGTCGACTGCGACATGGCTTTGCAGCAGCCGCGATGCTGCCTGCGATTTTTGTGTTGGTACCGTCGGGCCTCGCAGCCAGCGGTTCTCTGATCTCTGGTATTGCCGCAGCGGAACAGATCACGACGGTGCCGTCTCCGTACTCCCCAGTGTCCAACGGAACACAGGGCTTCGTTGATGCGGCCCAGAACATGACCAAGCCCGAGTATGACACCCAGTCCCACGGAATCGTTCTGGACATCGGGTATGGCATGATCCAGGTGGCAGTAGGCTTCACCGTCGGTCTATTTTTGGCTGCTTTGGTCGTTTACCCATTGGGTAAGAAGCGAAGCGGACTCTTCAGTTTCTAAAGAGCTTGCGAAGTTCGTGACATCCATCCTATTATACCGCGTTTCTTTCGCACCTATATACGTGAAGCGTACGTTTGTTTTTCTTCTGTGTTCCTGTCTAGCATTGCCGTCACGAAGCGAGTCTGTCGAGTTGTTTCAGCGTGAACTGTTTGGAGTGATATCTTGCTTGATCCTATCTATATAGTGTTGGCTCCGACCACCCTCTCTTTTCTCCATGCCCTGTGATGTCCTATCCTGCTGTTTCTGAGATTCTTGCATATGTCGATAAACTCACTCTTTGGTTTTATTTTCTTTTCTTGTTACAGTCTGTGTCTGTGATCCACTCTGGGTAGTACTTAGCAATAATGAGATTATATATGAGCGGTAGTCTCTAGTCTTGGTCCTTACTGGGGTAATACCTCGTCTAAGCCGGCCGCGCTTGACATTTACCTCGATCGTCAAACCGGCCTAGATCTTATCAGTACCCGTGCCAAGTTTGATTATAGTCTGTAAGATCTTCCCCACTGTCGAGACACTTAAGCCACGAGCTGCATACAACATAATACTGTTGGGATGTCCTCTTCTGATTCTCCAGAAGTAGACCAGCGGCTTATCATCCCATCGACATAACATACAAGTATCCCTGCGTCCAGCGGGAGAAGATCACTCCTGCCATGGAGGGAGGGGGTGGCGCAACGTTCCTTCCTTCACCTCTCCCTCCCTGCCTCCCGTGGACTAACCACCCAAATAATGAAGGGAGCTAGTCGTAGTTACTCGATGAGACCAACCTAGAGTCATTCATCAACAACCAAACCACACCTCATCGTATACAGTACAGCACAGAGATAGTGCCCATGAACATCGAACCTCACGCCACCCTGGTGTCTTTCCATATTCCCCCCAACCCACGCAACGCAAAGCAGGGATATGCGGTATGAACCAACCCAGTAGATAAGCAAGCCGTTGCTGCAACATATAGCCCTGCATCCAGCAACCACATACACCTCTAGCCTAGGCACTGTACCTACCATTTGCCCCCGGTTATTTCATCCAAGCCCACGTAGCAAGCAAGTATCACTGACCCGATCAATGCCCCCTCCCCCCCCCACATTTCAAGCAAAAGAGAGAAAGGAATAGGGCCCAAGGAGAAGGTATATTGTACCAGTCACAGCTTTAAGTACACCAAGTATGATTTCACACTGTCATTCGTGCGAAGTTCTTCTGAAACACCCGAGTAAGCTGGCTGGCTGGCTCGACTATAGGCTAGGCGATAGATAGGCAAGAAAGATCAAGTGGAACAAAAACCTGGGACCGGGCGGCCGGTCTTCGTACTCATGACACCTCCAGCAGGACCAGGAATTAGTAGGGTATGGTGTACATGGATTCTCGTTTTAGATCAGGTTCTGTGTTTCGCTTATGGTTTTCATTAAGTTAAGTGGTCTCTAGCTCGGAATTGAGTTTGCATTGTCTGCTATATCTATATCAAAGGGGTTTGGCTGGGGTAAGGTAAGAGTATAAGTTGATATTTGGAACCCTCCGTGTTAAGTTGCCTAGACTGGTGTTGATTCTAGTTCGTAACAGGGTTGATTAGGTAGTGATTGGTATGGGACATAGTTTCAGCATCCATACCAAGGCGATATCCGTAATTCAAGCCAGTAGCATACGACTTGAAAGTGTAGAAGATGCATACGCGCTTGAGGATGTGACTGCTTCTCGTCCTATTGTAACTCACTCTACTATCTGACTTCCTAGGCCAGAAAGGCTACATAACCAGATGTAGTCGGGCTTCGACTCCCCCAGGTTCAGTTCCCAGAAGAGAACCTGGGGTCTAGACCGGGGTTTGGGAACTTCCACGCTCAAGGAAAAAGACGTGATAGAAAGGCAACGCATTGCTAATGTGTCAATCAGCCCGCTTGAGGAGCTTCATCAATTTGTTCAGGTTGTAGAAAGTGGAGAAAAGGAATGATAGAGAAAAAAAAGGATAACATAAGTCACATTTTCATATGTGGGGTTGCGAGGTGAGGTGTTGAGCCAGCCAAACCGACTAACCAACCATCTCGCAGAGCCCGATCGTGTGTCCAAGCACAGAGAGAAAGGAACATAGACAGAAGATCGCTCAGGACCAAGTCTGCCATGCATTGACATCACAAAATTAGGCATCTTGTCTTCGGAACCAGGAAATAAGAGAATCAACATGCTTCAAAAACACCCCAGAAGTAAGAAATAAAGAAATCATCCAAGCTTGGCACATCCCGTAGCGCGTTTCAAGTCACATTATGTACGGCGTTCACATTATATGATGGTGGGGGTCTTACGCTTCTCAGCGCTGGACAGCACAAGCATAGGGGTCTTGCGCCGTTCCTGACCCTGAGCTACCGTCTTCTGGCCAGCGACGACAGCAGCAACCGATGGGGAGCCCGTTCGAGAGCCCTGATCCGCTCGAACGTCGGCGAACTTTCCTCCAAAGAACCCGCCATCCTCACTGATGGGGGTCGTGTTGTAGGGGCTATCCTGCGATCTGCGCTCCCGAGAAGACCTTTCCTTCCTCTCGGAACCAATTGCACCGTTGGCAGCTGCGCGGAGGCTACCCAAGCTGGGCTTGCTGGAAAGACTACCACTACGCACAGTGGCATCATCTCCATCGGAGAACGTGAACTCCTTCTCACTGGCGGGAGTGTTCGTACCACCACTGCTATGGCAGCCGAAGCTCCGGGTGTCACCGCGGCGCTCGATGCCGGCGCGCACCAAGTTGTGGACGGCCCGACGTCGCTGACGCGTGGCAAAGTTCTTGCTGCCTTCGAACTTAGAGGTGGGCTTCGCAACCAGCTCTTCCAGAGAAGGAGGGCCGCGAGGTTGACGAGTGGGATGTTCGCCTGCACGAGCTTGACCAGGGCCAAAAGTTCCCGTCGCAGGAGTCTGAGGCAAGGCAGCAGTCTTAGGACCAGGCGCCACCATCTGGCTGTTGGCCTTGATGGTGTCAATGGGCAGCTTCAGGGCAGGGCTGAAAGAAGAGCTCTTCTTGTGTCCCCGACGGAAAGCGTTGATTGAAGGCGGGGGCAGAGGAGCAACATCCAGAGGCGGCGACGGGCTCGACCGCGGAGGAGACACGGGCTCACCGATGCTGACAGGGGACTGGTGAGACTCGGGAGGAGAAACCTCTGCTCTGAAAGTGGGCACTTGCACGGATGGGAACGAAGGCTCCTCCTCGTGGTAGGGAGTAGTGGAGCTTTCCTGCTGGAAAGTGTTGTCATAGATGAAGTTTTGCTGGCCGGTAAGAGGATTGTAGACCGAGAAGAGACCGGGCTGACCTGGCACCGGCTGCACGATCGGCTGCACACCCTGCTGAAGCTGTTGCTGGTAGAAGCCCATGCTGGGGACCGGAAGCGCAGGGTATTCCTGTTGCTGCTGAGCCATGGGTCCACCCAAGGTCATGCCCTGGAACTGCTGGGCTGCTGCAGTCACACTAATCAATTGCTGCTGCAGGCGCTGTTGCTGGGCCGCAAGAAAAAGGTTGGTCGACATCAACTCCGCGTACAGGTTATCGTCCATTGGCATATCGCCAGCGATGTCTATAGCCGGAGGTGCGAGCACCTGCTCCGGCAAAGTATACATAGGACGACCCGTGTTCATGTCCACATTCTGGTTTGTGGCTAGTGAGTGGCGTGGGAAACCGGTTCCCATAGCGGTTTGAGGGACACGCTTCGTAGCGCGATTCGAAGGATTGCCATACCGATCGCCTTCGTAACCCAGATGCTGCTGGCGTTGGACTGCAGACGGCACGGTCGCGGACTTCGGTGCGGTCCTCAGCCCCGCCAAAAGATGAGAACGGCTAGTGCGTGGCGTGGGGACGGGTGCAGAAGGCTGAGATTCGTCAATAGTCGCGATGTGCGGCGGGGGAACGCTCAGTCGCTTGATATGGGAACCCTTCCGCCGAGAGCCGAAGCTGGCCCCAGGAGCCCCGAGGGAACCGCCATTATTGAAAGAAGAGTTGTAGCTCATTTGAGCAAGACCGCCAGCGTCCATACTCGTGATTGTTGATGGTGAAGTGTACAATAATATATGTGCAAAAGACGAAGAAAAGGGTGTGCTGGTGAATCAGCAACGCAGAGTAGCCTTAGCGTATTAAAGGATTAAGAGGCTTCGGCAATGACGAGACGCACAGATGAACCGAGACTGGATGATCGAAGGGCAACGAATGGTAATAATACTCCACAGTTTCAGGATCAAAGACCGATGCGAGCTTTCGTAACAGTCAGCCGGATGCTGTGAGCGACCGCCTCAACGCCAGCTTACCTGCAAGATACAGGAAAGTATGCAAGTCGACGCGCCTTAGTGGAATGGCACCAGACGGCAAAGAGCGATTAGGAATCAGGTGTACAAGAAGATAAGAACCAGGCGTCAGCGTCGAATGATCAATGCTGGTGGCTTAATAGGATGACCAAGAGAGAGGCGAAGGTAGACGCGACCGGAGCAGAAGAGTAGTCGGCTCAAGCAACGGTGGTGGTGAAGGATATGTCTGCGATTAAAAGACCGATGATGGTGAACAGACGGGAGATGCTCTGCAACTCCCTAGTAGGCGTGAAAAAATAAAGCTCGACACGACGATGTAATGAAGAGAAAAATCAAGCCTGAACTGTCCGTCCGGATCCTTCGCAACACAAACACGGCGATGCGATGGTGACGAGATGGGAAGTAAGGGATGCAAGCAAAGACTTTTTGGGTTCTTGTCAAGGGGAGATCGATAGATGAATGATTAAGGGCGAGCTTCTTCTCAGTTTCTCCAAATTTATCTTTAACCTTTTCTTTTAATCCCTTCTCTCACTGACACTTTTTTCTTTTTTGTGTTTTCTGGGGTTGATAAGGAATCCGCGCACTTGGGACGGTGGAAAGAGAGAAGGAAAAGTGAGAGGATGAAGTGAGGAAACGAGTCTCAACGCCGGGTGTGATTGATTCGTTTCTTCGGCTCTCGGCGCGTGTTTTGGCCGCCTTGTTTTTTTGCTTTTTTTTTCTGTTTCGTTTTCCGTGGCTTTCCTGGCGCGCCTAATCGGGAAGCAAAGTGGTTCTGGTGCCTCAGGCAGACAGACGGTGCGAGGTACCTCTCCCGCTCAAGTCGGATGGAAGGCGAACACAAAGCAAGGTGAGGCAGAACAATACACGCAAATTAAAAGTCTAGCAGATGGAGAAAAGAAATTGGGTGAGATATAAGAGATAGGCGGAAATTAGGCCTTTGGAAAAGAGGCCAAGGTTGAAAAGGGATCTGGTTGAAGTAAAGTGACAAGGCTGAGGGGGGGGCGAAGGAGGCTTGAAGTGACGGAAGGTACGCGAGTAAGAGAGAGGAAGAGAAGGGAGAACGAAAGATGTAGAGGTAGAGGGGGAGGGAGAGAAAGCAAAAGATAGAGTAGAAGTAGAGAAAGAGAGAGAGAGAGGTAGGTAGAGAGAGGGTGAGGAAGAAGGGAGAATTAGAGGAATGAATAAATGAATGAGGAGAGCACTAAGTAATAATAGATAGAGAAGGGAAGGGGAACCAGCGGGGGGGGGTGGGAGGAGATGGGGTGAGTGAGTGAGTGAGGGACGGAGGGAGTAAGGGAAGGAGAGTGTCAATGAGAGAGGAGCGAGAGGAAGTGAAAGCTGCCATTCTCCAATTCCAGCTTCCAGACGCTGGGCTGAGACGCCCACTTCGCCGCCCTGGTCCAGTCTGCCTTGCTGACTGGTTCGCTTGACCGCCACACTTGTCCTATCTGGGCCTAGCATTGTGGCCATTGTTTGGCAGTTGCGGGCCTGGGGCACCTGATTGGAGCCAGCACCCAACCGGGGTCTGGTGCCTGAGGATTTCGAAGGTCACTTAAGGTCTCTAAGGATTCCTGAGGACAACAATTGTTTGGTCTTAATGAATCCCACCCGTCAATCACCCGCGTTCCTTTGTCTGATGCTTTCAACTTGAACCTTTTCAGTATGTCAAATGTCAACTAATGTCAACTGTGTCATCTGGGACCCATCTCTTCATATTGCACCCCCCCCACATCTAAAGATACAATGAAGCTCCTGCCAACTCTAGGCTCTTACTGAAGCCACCTAACCAGAACCATATGTTCGTCCCACTGACCAGTGCGCTTGAACTCACTAATCCACCCGACGCTCGACCAATTCGTCGTCACGCTTTCCCTTCCCTCATTGGCCCAGACCTTTTTAGATCTACTAATGTCTCCACAGCTGCCTCCTTAAGACCGATAGTTTGCCAACCAAGCCTAAAAGATATGGATCCGGCAGTCTGACCCATTTCGTCCACAAGACCTCGTTTCAAGCGGATAGACACTGACCCAAGATTCTGAATGATTATCAAACATACAGGGATCGAGCTCATTGCAAACATCATCGAACAACACCCACACAGCCATTAGCCGTCCGGTTGTAAAACCAGGCCCTCCATCAATGGTCAAAATACTCAACTGGCATCAGGCTGAGTAGACTACATGAAGGACAGAATTGTCAACAGTTCGACTTGCTGTCTTTGTTCTGGCTGATTGATAGGCGTGAGATCCAGCTGCGAGCTTCCGTTTGAGTTTTGCCTTCCCCTCGTCCGTGGCATCCGTGAGGAGGACGGCAACCTCTTCACCAAAATTCTTCGCGATTTCCTCGATGGTCAGACGGGCTGTCTCGGGGATAATGAAATACATGACTCGAGATTCTGTTAGTAACGGTGCAGTAGGCCAGTTCCCAATCTTGGAAGCTCAGTACTACGTACCTGAATTAGCCGCGTTGCGAAGAACCGCCGTAGAGTTTCTACTTACCAGCAGATTGTCCAAACAATGAAAAGCCCATGCCAATCGGCCGAATCTCGGTGGGGAGTATTTCAGACACATAGAGGTACATCGTGGTATCGCAGAAAGTTCTGTTGCAAAGTCAGGTCCCATCGTGGGCTGGCCGAAGGTCTGCTTACCCCTGAAAGGCTAAATAGAGATAGATGAAGAAAATGCCAAAGCCGTTTCCAACCTGATTCTTGATCCCTGCATACTGTGCTGTCATGGCAGCTAGGCATGATATAGTGATAATAATCCCGATAAAGCCAACAGTATACATTTTCCGCCTTGAATTTACTCTGTCATGAAGCCAAGCTCCTAACATGTTATATAATATCCCTAGACGTCGGATGTCAGCGCCAGCTGGATCATGAGTAGACTTTCTTACCAGCCGTGGTAAGCCATACTGCACTAAGAAGCAAGGGCATGCTGCCTGTCATCCCCAAGTTAGTGTATAGGATGACGGCGTAGTTGTTCTGTCATTAAAATGAGCGGCTGGTCAAACAGTATTCGTGTACCAGCGACTTACTATGAACAAAGACTCACCAAACTCTGCTCCCCAATGTGTCAGGAAACCAATAATTATACGTTATATGACCTTTTCTTGAGGACTACTTGCCATACATTACGGTAGGCAGGCAATCGCTCTTTCTCCAGATGAATCTGTTGAGTGGTTTGGTAGTATTCTTCCTTAGCAACGAGATTGTCGGGATCATCAGGGGAATTGCGCAGCCGCTCCAAGACTGATTGAGCCTCGCTTTGTTTACCCTTGCTGATCATCCAGCGAGGAGAGGCGCGAAACCCACGGCGACCCAAGAAGCAGGATCAGAGGTGGGAGGCATTGAAGGCAAAGCGGAAAGCTCCAACTGAACGTATCCGTTTGACCTTGCGCAAAGTAGCACGCATAGCCAACTCATCCAGCAAGCATGTACCCCAAGACTAGAAATATAGCAAGGTGACCAACAAGCCAGCCCCGGCGAAAAGCGCCCGATATTTCGGACAGATAAATGGGACAGACAGTCACCAGGATTCCGATTCCCAGGCCGCAGATAAAACGCCCTGCCTGGAACATGCTGGAAACACATCAGCTCCTTGATTTCAAGAATGTTTGGAACACTCCAGCACGCACCTTAAAGAGCTGGCAGCGCCTTGGAGCGCACCGCCAAACATGGCCAGGAAAGCGCCCAGCTGGATGTTGCGCTTACAATCAAAGAAGTCGCATGACCACATAATGAAGAGGCATTCAGCCGCACCCCCAGCGCTGTATCCACCGTTGGCAGTCAATATAGCTGGTGTCGTGTCGACGTGTTCCCCAGCTGTCCCTCTTGAGGAAGGCTGAAATAGGTATACCACCCTGGCTGGCCGATGGTACTCGAAATGATCGAGGAGCAATAACCGTAGTTCTTGAAGAATTGAGTGAAACTAGCGTATATTTGAGTGAAAGCAGGGTAGAAGTCGACGTCTTACCATTGACCCTACAGCAACGAAGGCCGTGACCAGCCCGTTGTAGGTACTCGTCTGCGATCCGAAAGTGCCCATGCTGATGGATCGGTCTAGGACTCAACGCGAGAGCGTTTGCCATGAAACAAGAACCAGAGTCTGGCGACGAGTCTGGTAACTCGGCTCATGTCAGCCACAGTGCTTCAACACAGTGCTTCAAGAAAGTGTGCGACCGAGGAATGCTTGGAATGAATTATGCAATCCGCTCCGCACGACAGCTAAGGATCGCACATGGACATCCACCCATTGGCTGAAAGGGCACATTTGCTATCTTCGCTTGATGTAACGAGCAGTATACTACTCCTTGCTTAATGCATGTCTCAGTTCAGGCAATAATGACAGCTCACTGTGTCTTGTTTGTGCCCTTGCTCGAAAAGCTATTTCCCGGCTAATTCGGTTCTTTTCCAAAGGTGAATGACAGGAAGGAAAGAGAGTTGACAGTGACGGAAGAATAGCTGTTGCCTCGTGCTGATCCCCCGCATTTTTACTCCCCGATCTCAAGTTTGTGTTTGTTGCATGTTTGTCCCCTCCATACAACTCCAGCAAGGCGCGCTTCTGACTGGCATTTTTGAACGAGATCAGAACATCAGTTCAAGTACGTGCTGCAACACTATGGTGACATTGAAGGAAACCTGACATTGCAAGGTCGCACTATAATGACCCTACATACCATACGAACCACTCATGAACATTTCTCGCACTGCGACTTTACAAGTCAATCCCGTGCACATCCTGTCGTTTCGAATTTCGGAAAGTACAAACAGGGACTTGCGATCTTTATGCTATCTTCCATACGAGCAACAGGCTCCACGCAGGGTGTCTCTGTAGCCATGACGGACAGATAATCGGTTTTCAATACACCATTTGGTCTGCTTTCGAATCCAAAGCAGGTCTGGGTGGGGCAACCGGACAGCAAAGAAGAAGGTCTGGGGAAGCTTTCCATTCTGACACCGGAAGTAGTGGCCAAGGCGGCAGCAACCGAGACCGAGACAGGGCGGCGGGTGACCATTGCATGGGAATTGACCAAGCTGGGTTACCCCAATGTAAACCGTCAACCATGTCATCATCGGAATTGTTCCGTTGCTGGGTGGCGTGGCTTTTGATGATGTCTATACGATGAACCCGCGTGAGACCAAAATGAAAACCCCTTTCTCTTCCATGATGTCGATATTTCGCAGAACAAAGCAGTCAATGGGATGGGTTGCGACACTTTTCGCAGCCAGTCCCAGGTCAACCCGAGCGCGTCTTTATGGCGGGGCAACAGTGGAAGAGATCAATGATCGGACGAATAATCGAATCGGTATACAGCACTGGGCACGGGAGGGTTTAGCTGGTAGGTATCGCGGCCATGAGTCAACCTAACATATAACTTGATTCGCTCCGGATGTATTGAGTCTCCCCTGACAAATCGTGGGGTACTCATCGACTACGCGACGTGGGCCGAGAAGCGTGGTATACGATATAGCACGTTCTCGACCCATCAGATCAGACTTTCCGTTATCCTACAGGTTGCAAAAGAATCCAACATCGCATTCCCGAAAGGTGACATTCTCTTCATCCGCATAGGAGCCACCAAGGAATGGGATACCGTCATGGCACACACTCAGAAGCAGCGATACTCCGAGAATCCGAAGCCCCAACACGCAGGGGTGGAGGCTACTATCGACGTTCTTCGTCAAATCTGTGCCTCTGAATATGCCCGGTGGAGTGTCGTCCCCACCGAACGCGATTGGCATATTCTGAGGCTACAGTCCTCGCACCCGAAAAGAGCGACTGAGAGATTCCGAATCTATATTGACGGGCTCGTGCGGGTGTACTGTAAGTAGTTAATGAGTGGTGATAAGGCACCCTCGTTTGTAACCCGCTCCGAAGCGCCGGGCTGCAGTGAGCTGCATGCCCAAGGTGTAGATCATACCACCCTTACATGTGTTTCTAGGGACATCGTCAATACCAGGCATGTCTTGACCGCCAAAATCACTATCATTGTAACCTACCACTTGTGCCCTGCAATGTGAGGACTCCGTCGGAGCGGTTGCGAACTGGTTCTAGAAGCAGAAACTTTATACCCTAACCCAATAACTTCTCTCTTGAAGAAAGAGACTTGATCACTGGTATGAGCCTGTTAATCTCGCTAAAGAGCCCCCTCGAGGCTTTGGGTTGAATCTCTATTCGCCATTTTGGTATGTCTACCTAATTGTCCTTCCACCTTCACAAGGTTGCGCTTAGCCAGATGGCGGCAGGGGGTAGGTAGATGTTTGTATGAGAATGACGTGAAAACAGGTGGCTAAGAGTGTACATATGATAAAGGTGCTTGCTTCGTAAGGTGCTTGGAGAGGTGCTTGGAGAGGTCTCGCTGCGTTATTCCGAGGTTGCTCAGAGAGATATCAGGAAATCTTTACTCAAGGTGCTTGCTTGATGATTCGAGTTGGAAGTCCAGGTCCACCAAGGGCGCTTTTGTGGGAGCGAGTCACCCGCCGGTTAGGCCTTTGTTACCTGCCATAAGTCCACTGATATTAATACCAGCCCATTTGACTCCAATCGGTTTCTACACCCTGTACCCAAGATATTAGTCCATAGCTTAGCTCAACGCAGAAAGCAATCGAGGCTATAAGGATCAAGAGCAATTTAATATGACTGAAGTTTCGACCCAACCCACAGCAAACTTCCCACCTCCTGCATGAGGCAGCCGTGTTGGAAAGAGATTCTCCCCAATTTCGAATGCGTACTACATCCATAAGCTCATTCGTGAATACTCTACTGTACATAGACCATTCATGAGATGTCCGGATTGCCACCCCCTCCCCAAGAAGTCGGCCCTCAGCTCCTTCTCTTTCTCTGGTCCACCACATTTAGTGGGATAAAGAAAAAGGGGGGGAAACAACACCTGAACAGCGATTGGAGCTGTATATCAACCTAAGAAAAGAACTCAAACCCCACGGGAACTCGTACTAGTACTACAGAGATAGACGCGGGCTTGCCGAAAAGGCCGCAACAGCAATACGAACAATTCATCGGATCTCTTCGCTTCAGAATTCCGAGATGGAAATCGCGTGATTGCCGCACGCGAGAGAACGAGGCATTGTACGATTGAAAGATATCCACCCGATCGTGGTTCGCGAGCGATGCAAAGCTGAAGCTAATCAGGGATCTCGTGCTCCTCGCCTAACTACTGACTAGGTGGCACTGTTGTGGAGATGCATTGCAGGGGGTTAGTGTGGCGAACCAATTGCTTGTCATATTACTCAGTAATTAGTCTAAGTATTGTCCATTCGCTGTGATCATCGGTTTGAATTACAAGATTTGTCGATTCATTTTTGGAGAAGTGCCTCGCGCTGATAAGTGGGTATGGGATACGGTGTGATGTGCCTGGAGAGGGCTGGCTGCTGCAGACTGTATCCGGGACTTCCGAAGAGTAGGCCCTAAGAGCAGTAGTTTAGAATGAGTGTAACTAGAGTCGAGTGAACGGCCAATGGCGTCCTGCTCGTTCAAATAGTCCCTTTCGTCGACAACAACCATAACGGTGTCACGGACTCACGAGGAATTTTCTAGTCCCTTGTTGTCTGAGATGGTCCAAGGAACCGGGCCAGGCTTATTTCGGTTCAGCCAACGACACGCGGTGGGTGGGCGCCCCGCTCGTTCAATAGGCACTTTTAGCCCGAGCCCTAGACTAAAGCTGTCGGCAAACCGATCGACGATAAATGTCAATTGAACTCTGACTGACTGTTCAGGGTGTGCTTAGACTTTTGCACTTACTTTTGCTGGCAGCATGGTCGGATAACCCTACAGGATACTGATCTTGAACAGAAAGATGTGCAATTTTGAAGGTGAAATTATACCAGATACACATTCATGTAGGTTCGAGAGCCTCCAATCCAGCAGAGATCAGCAATCCCAATTCCCAGACCCAAGGGTTTTTGTCCCTGAACCAAACCTGAAGCTAGTCTCAAAGAAGCTTAACCCGACCCGGTTCTTCAGGTTCCCTGAGCTCGGGATATCCGAGCAAGCCGATTCCAACGTCATAACCAGCCCTGATTCCCTCGCGATACGACGGATACTGTTACCTGATATTTCCCCTTTCTGACCTTGGAAGCGGATCCTACCAGCAATGGTGCCTGCCAAGAGGTCGAGACCTGGACAGTACAGGGATTACCCACGTGGTGGTCTGCAGGGCAATTGACCACGGGAAATGCTTGCACAATGCAGACCCCTACTGCACCACTTTTCTCAGAGCGCCCGCGGCAGGTATAAGAGCAGTTCTGATCCCTTCTTGTGGGAGAACCAAGCTTCGCGTACATTCGTTTAGACGCTCGCTCCGGCCGAACAGGGCCCATCACTGTCACTCTTTCTGATTTTCTTTTTTTACTGTCGTTCTTTAAATACAGTCATTCTTTCAAATAGAACAGTATGCGTTTCGCTCCTCTTGCGGCGACTGTCGCGTCCCTGGGCGTGGCCAGTGCTGCGGCCATCAAGCCCAAGGACACTGCTCTGCGGGCTCGCGATACCTGCTCGGATGTCGAGTTCACCGGCGAGGTCCTGCACCTCTCCTTGAACATCATCGAGTACCCTGTTGTGGTTGATGTCCAGCTCGAGGAGGATGCTATCATCACCGTTGACAACACCATTCTCATCGAGGCTACGAATGCGCCTACCCACCTGCACACTACGGTGATGGCTACTTCGACTTCTACTGTCACCAAGACTATTTCCACGGCTACTATTACTGGTGCTGGTGGTGAGGCCACTGCTGGTTCTGGACCTGGCTCTTCCGGCTCTTCCAGCTCGGGCTCTTCCAGCTCTGGCTCGTCTGGAGTTGTCGCTGGCTCTGGATCCTCCAACTCCGGCTATGGCTCCTCTGGCTCCTCTGGCTCCTCTGGCTCCTCTGGCTCCTCTGGCTCCTCTGGCTCTTCTGGCTCCTCTGGCTCCTCTGGCTCCGGCTCCGGCGCTGGCTCCTCCAACAATGGATCTCCAGCTGTCGTGACCAAGGTCAACCCTAAGACCACCAACACCCGCCTCATGTAAGTCCAGTCACTCTTCTACATCGACACTGCTTATTCCCTCCAGCCATCCTCAAGTGACCGGCTCCAAGAGCCTTGCCCCCGTCGCCGGCGGTTCTGCCGTCGGCTCGGGTGTCAACACCGCGCTCTACACAGCCTCGACCTCCAACACTCTGGTTGGCACCAAGACGACGACCATCCGCGGCGCCTCCACCACCGCGACCCGGACCTACACCACGACGCTGGCCTCGATCACCGCCACCCAAGCTGCGGGCGAGTTCACCGACTGGACGAAGTTCAAGGCCAACGGCGTGAACCTGGGCGGCTGGCTGGAGCAGGAACAGGTCTTCGACCAGGTGTGGTGGGACTCGTACGCGCCCAACGCGACCGACGAATGGACCTTCTGCAAGACCCTGGGCTCGCAGTGCGGGCCTGTCCTCGAGGAGCGCTATGCCACCTACATCACCACCGACGACATTGACCGCGTCGCCGCAGTCGGTACGTTTTTCCTCTCCTACATCTCAATTAATACTAACCACCGACAAAAAAAAGGCGTCAACACCCTCCGCATCCCAACCACCTACGCGGCCTGGATCCAGGTCCCCGGCTCGCAGCTCTACCACGGCAACCAGCAGACCTACCTTCGCAACATCGCGACCTACGCGATCGAGAAATACAGCATGCGTGTGATCATCGGCCTGCACTCGCTTCCCGGCGGCGTGAACAGCCTGGACATCGGCGAAGCCGCCGGGCACGACGGGTGGTTCTACAACACGACGAACCTGCATTACAGCTACAGCGCGGTCACCGCGGTCCTGGACTTCATCGCCAGCACGGGCACGAACGCCTGGGCGTTCACCCTGTCCCCGCTCAACGAGGCCTCGGACAACCCGGCGGGCTTCGCCAGCCCGGAGACGCTCACGGACAACGGCACCGCGTGGATCGTGCAGTACACGAAGGGGGTGCTGGAGCGGATCGCGGCCAGCGCCGTGCCGGACGTCCCCGTCATGCTCCAGGACTGCTTCCTGGGCGAGGAGCACTGGTCCGGCTACTTCGACGTGACCGCCAACCTGGTCTTCGACACCCACGTCTACTACTTCGCGGCCTCCGGCGTGTACTCGCAGTGGGCGCAGGGCGCCATCTGCGGCCAGGCCAGCGTGCTGGGCGGTGACGGCAAGTTCCCCGTCTTCGTGGGCGAGTGGGCCCTCCAGACCCTCTACAGCAACACCTACGCCAACCGCCGCACCCTGTTCGAGACCCAGCGATACGCCTGGTCGTACTATGTCCAGGGCGGCAGCTTCTGGAACATCAAGCACAAATCCACCGCCAAGGTCGATGGGCAGGGCACCCAGCAGGATTACTGGAGTTATGAGCTGCTCTTGGATGAGGGGGTCATCGGGCCTATCAAGAGCAATGCTACTTACTGCTAGACGGTTGGATTGGGGAGGATCGGATGTGGTTGTTCAGGGGACGGATATATTAATATACTAGATTAATGAGACCAATAGAGTTATGACTTGGTTAGAAATGTGTATAGAGAGTAGAGTGTAGAGAGAAAGATAGTGAGAAAAATGTAGAGAGAAACTAATCCACACCAGACGAAATTGAATTCATACTGCGAATCAACTCATACAGCACGATAACCACAATTATACACTAAAGGCTAATTATAACTTGGCTGGTAAAGTGTAGAGAACTAATCTCGACACCAGAAACTCCTGAATCACACTACAAATCAACATCAAGCTTACAGCATTATGACCACAGTTGAGAACGACAAGTCTCTTGACAAGAGAAGAAGGTATAGAACAAGCCAATTGCTCAAATTGTCAAACATAAGCTATACATAATGAAGTAGAAAATGGTAAGTCACAGACTTTTCCCACACCCCAAAACTCTCAAGAGCGTTGCATCATACATCATAACGCCTGTTATCAGTCGTTGCAGCATTGAAGAATATAGTAGTACGATTGCGGACCAGCCCACAGCAACACCACCACACCACTGCACCTGCACTCTGCTGCGAAAATGTTTATTAGGGGAATTCGTTGCAGACGATCTGTTCAGTCACACATTACTCAGTCAGCAGCCTTACCGTTCAATGGATGGTAGAGGAACGGATGGGCCAGACAAAGAGAGAAAGAAAAAGGCAGCCGAGGAAGAATAGCAGCAGCTGCGGAAAATGAAAGAATTGGTGGGGGGGGGTTTACAGTACCTGTCCGTTTTTCTGTTTGAGCCATCAAGAAGAATCAGCGAATCCATCCTTTGCATCTGTGGCTGGATATGGAGGTGCCAGGAAGAAATAAAAGTGAAGACTTACATCAAGAGGGAAGTTACTCTTGCACTTAACCTTGGGATAGTAGCATGCACTGGGATTTTGTAGCCTGCAGCCGGTTCCCACCCCGGCAACCTTGATCTGGAACCACAAGACATTGATCACCCAGTCCTTGGTGTCGATCTTGCCGGTGCAACAGTAATCTTTCTTGTCACCGAGCTGGCGCTCTTCGAGGTCCCGCTCCTCGAAACCCTCGACGTCCGGGGTCGGGGAGGTCAGCCCCAGGCTGGCGAGGGCGAGCACGCCGAAGATGGTCTTGAGCTGCATGTTGTGCAATAGTCGAGCAATGGAAGATGGTTTGTCGGATGTAAGTTAGTGTGTTGTAATGTAGTTAGGTATCTTGGACTAAGTCTTCAAGCTGTGATGAGCGATCCAGACCCTTTTTATATACACAGTTATAAACAATCGACCGACCCAAGAGCAAAGTCCATCACCCTCAACCCTTCTCCTTTTCCTCTCAAGATCAATACGAACTGACCTCCAGCCCAAGCCCATGGGACCCAAATCCCAAGGACAGCGAAAAAAATCCAGCAAGTCATCTGCTCAACCCTGCACCCACGGCGCAAATCCTCTTCCCCTACTAGCCCCCATCGATCATAGGAACCACCCACAATTGCAGATCTACACGAACTCCATCGTGGGTGGAGACGGTGCCAGAATCGTGGTAGAGGAACCTAAATACGAGCCCCCCATCGATCCATCGGTTCCCTCCACCCGAGAGATCGGGCTGGTCGCCATCATTCAAGATCTGAACCACGGATTCGATTACGAAGGGTGTTCCTTGGACCTGGTCATACTGCCTACTGCAGGTGGGTTTGTTTGTTTGCCCGCTCTAGGTAGATCATGGGTTACCGAACTATGGGTTTGGAGGCGTTCGAGCGGAGGAAGAGGAAGTTTAAAGGGGTTGCGGATATCACTCCCGCCGAACTATTCTCCTGGGTTCGTTTTATATGTTTGACTGGAAACTTGAGAGTCGTTGGATGGTGATGGTCAGACTTTTTTTGCTTCTGTCTGCGTGGTTCCTTGTGGGATTCTGGATCTTTGCTAAGCCGTGTTGGTTTTGTGAGAGTGGCGAAGGAGTGCTAAGTTGTGCGGTATCACCTACCTAAAGTACTCGCGAGTCCTTGCGAATTCAACTCGAGAAAAGAATAGCTCAATGATCAGACTGGACTTACTACTCCCGGTGCCGTGCTTGGTCCAAGCACAATCGAGGGCTTGAGGGTTGAGCATCATGCCTCACACCAACCGCGAGGGTTCGTTCACCTTAGCCTTAGAGCCGAGCGAGCCAAACCCACTCCCAAGGTTCACTTTCGTTTCTAATCCCCCAACTCCAACGACGGCAGATGAATCCATCGATGGGAGAGGATCTGAGTCCCAGTGGACAGTTCGAGATTCGATCCCCCACCCCAATCCGGCAGCAGTCCATTCCCTCCCTCAATCTTCTCGAGCTGAACCATTGCTTCACTGGCCACTAGAACGAAACCAAATCGTAGGAGTGACTTAATCTTAGGGGTAGTGGCATCTGGACCCTTGTGGGGTAGCTGGATTCATGGCTGGAATCGACTTCTTCGGGGTTATGAATATGGGTTCAGGGTTCTATTTGCTAGTGGCGGCGGGGTAAGTGCTATGCCATGCATGGCTCGGGATTCTAGGGATGGGTTGGTGGGAGACCACCGTGCAGGAAAGAAGCCTGAGGTGGCTTTGTTTCTCCACGCGCAGAAGTTGTGGGGTACTCTGAGCGAGCACGGCTGGGCCTTGATTGGATATTCTATGCTGCAGGGTCAAGGGTGGGTAGCTGGAGGGATTGTATGAGTGAAGCAAGGCGAAGGGATGTGTGGATAAAATGCTATGCGTATCTCTGGCATGCTAATAGTACTCATAACAGTGGCATTCTTGCTACCTGACTCCAGGTCTATCGCACAAATCATACCAAACATGTCAACTCCTGCTACCCTATTACCGCACTGAACACCCCCAATGTAAAAGCACGATGGAGGCCGACGTGTCGCTGGCCCCACATCTCCCTCAGGTATCGCTCCGCGCAGCGGTTGAACTCCCGTCCTCGGGCATCGATCAGGGCCGGTTTCACGCTCCAGCTGCGCACGCGTCGCTTGCAGTCACAGTCCTGACAGCCGAGGTCGGGGACATTCTTCCAGGCCTTCCAGTAGTTGTCCAGCGGGTCGGAGAAATGGCACTTCCTGGCTGCGCCGCAGTCCGCGCCCTTCACGTCCAGCTCGCAGCATTCGTTCTGAGGGTCCAGGAACAATTTCGCCAGGGACCGCGGGGACTGCTTCAGAATGAACCACGAGATGACGCTATATTCGTTCCGTGCGTCCCGGTGCCAGTCCTTCGGGCCGTGGCGCAGGAGCATGCGTTCCATCAGTTCCCGCAACATCCGCAGCGCTGCGTGGAAGTCGATCTCGGTCTGTTCGTCGAGCCAGCCGCGGAATTCCAGCCGGCGTCTGCCCACGTCCGCTTCCACATAGCCCCATCTCAACACGGTATACACATGGTTTGTGTATTCTTCAAACGTCACCATCTTTCGTCTCTGCGGCGGAAGCTCGTCGTACTCATCCAGCATCTTTCCCAGAACGAACAGCCGCCCGCTGACCACTGGCGCCAGGGGCTTCTTCGGCGGCATGAGCCTCTCCGTATCCCGAGCGATATCGGCCATCTGAAACAGAACGTGTAAGCCCCGTTCGAGCCGTTGCGCCAGCCGTAGTTCTGCCTCGAAGTTCATCTCTGTGTTGTCTTCCTCGCAGAAAGGGCCCCATACGGCGGGCACAAGATGTCGCGATAAGTCTCGGGCGATGTTATGCCGGTGGAGAAACCGGACCAGAGTGTGAATCGTCAACGGGGTCTGCTCCCCGGTCCACGGGCTCATGGTGAGGATGGGATCGAAGGTGTCGATGCCGTGGCATCGCATGAACCAGGTGCAGATATGCGGCTCGAGGATCTTGATGGTCTCATAAGTGGCCTTGTTCAGCCAGCAGAGACTGAGTATCGTGGTCACCTCGCCGCTGATGATGATGTGAAAGAGGACATCGGCTACAAAGCCGAAGGGAAGAGGTGCTCCCCGCCGCAGAGATGGGGATAGCATCTGTTTGACAAGGCGAATCAGCGTGGGGGATCTCCCTCGCACCTGCGGAGTGGGTGCTTGGCTGCGTATGGTCTTTCGGCGGAAGATCATCCCGACTTACCGTAGCAACTGCTTGCTGCTAATCTGGACCATCCAAGCCTTTCCCAATCTAGGCGAAAGGGAGTGACATTGGGTTCTTTATAAAGGGACTACTCAGGGCCGTCGTGGGGGGGGAAAGAGGCTGTTTGCCCAGGCTGTAAGGGGGGTTAATTGCCGTTTGGCGGATAACAAAGCGTCGACGGTGTGACGCGTTGGCAGATTATCAGTCGTGTGCTTGGCTGCAGCGATGCATCCGGAAAAGGCTGAGTAGACAGGGTGCAGGATGCAATCGCCGAACGACCGTAAGCTGACTGGTCAACTTGGAAACTTATATAATACGTGGTCCCATGTCCGGTGCGGTCATCACAGGAGCGATAGTGAGGCCCAGAAGTAAAGATCGACCACGTTTCACGCGAAATGCGAACAAGGAGAAGGGGCTGCCAGCACGGTCTATCGGTCTTCATGTTAAGACACACGTAGCACAATAATCCGTTCCCAACTGGTGTCTGTTCTGATGTAATAGCATGACACGCCTGGGGAAATAATCAAGCCCGTCTGATCATGGGATCGGCGGTGTCGCTGATAGTGGCTTTCAATAGCGCCAGGGGAACCGAGGGGGGAAGATCCGACATCGTCACGCGAGGAACTCTGTCACGTATCGAGGACGAGACCATTCGACTCTTGCAAGACAAGCTTGTAACGTCAGCGATAGTTTGGAAGAATGAATGAACGAATGAACGAACAGGTAGGTGGGTGAATTAGATGAATTGCCGTGGGAGCATCTCCATCTCCATTCTCCACACTACGGAGTTATCGACAATTGTTTATCGGTGGAGCCGGCCGCGGCTAAACCCAATCCGCTCAACCCCCTTCTCCCCCGCCTCTCTCTGATTCTCTATCGGTCGGCCACGAAAAATTTCTGGGACGATAACAGATTGTCAGCTTCGCAACAACAACCTTCCCACCTCCCCACCTCCCTACCTCCCTCTCTCCCTCGACGCCCAACGTTGGTTCTCAAGTCAAGTCACAGTCTTACTCGACTGGACTTTTCTCCAACCAACAAACTTCGTCAGGGTCTGCCGACCTCCGTCTGATGCCATTTCGCATATCGATCCTAGTCGCGCTTAACGCATGATTTTCTCCAAGCCCCTCCCACTCGCCGACGAGTGGACAGATCCGGATGCCTACGTTGAGGCCTTGATTTCCTTCGCTACCAACTCTGACATCTTTAGGCACCTCTGCGGCGGAGTGCATATCCTTGACTTCCTAACACGAGAGCCGGACCTTTATACCTCCCTGCTACCGGAAAATTGGCGGACCTTCTTCGATCAGCATGATGTCCAGGACATTCTAGACTTGCTCCTTCGCGACGATCTACAGCCCCTCTTCGACCAACATGCCGGAACGGGCAGCGAACTGGATGCGGACGCAAGAGGGTGGCGAGGCGGTAGTCTGCCCCCGCTGGATTTCCTGGAGTACATTCACCAGATCCGGCGCCTGAGCCTGGGACGGGATTTTACTCCGTCTCAGCCCGGGACCCCTGTGATCCCGAGACATATTGCAGTGGGGATGAACGTCAAGAAGTACCATGAGGTCGCGCACTTCTCTAAATACGTGGATAAGCTGTGCACTACGGTAGACGAACAACGGGGCGATGCGATCACACACATCGTGGACTTTGGGTCGGGGCAGAGCTACCTGGGTCGCACCCTTGCCTCTGCGCCGTACCACCGGCACATCGTGGCCATCGAGCGGAAGCATCAGTTCATCAGTGGTGCGCAGGGCATGGATGTGCATGCTCGTCTGAAGGAGAAGAAAAAGGTCAACATGTACAACAAGAAGGCTGCCAAATGCAAGGTGTGCGATGCACCTGAGTCGCCTGCAGCGGTGGAGTCGCGCCCCAATGCAGGGGAGTCCAACATTGCAGAGCAGAGGCCTCAGGAGGAGGACCCAACGACAGCCACTGCCAATGGGGAAGAAGAGGACCTGGCCATGATTAACGTCTTCCGTGACGTCAGCCTTGCGCCCGGCGAGATTGGCTTCAAGCCTCATCGGAACGCGCCCAAGGCGGCCGTGGAAGAAGAGGATGATCCCAACAAGCCGAGAGGCACGATGGACTATATCGAACATGAGATCAAGGACGGTTATCTGGAGCCGATCATCAAAGATGTGATCGAGGCTCCTCTGCCTGCTGTCGAAACAACCACGGATGACAGTGCAGTTGCGACCAATGGTACCAAGGCAGACCAGAAGCCGGTGGACGCCAAGGTCATGGTCATCTCCCTCCACTCTTGTGGCAACCTACTGCACCACGGTGTCCGCTCTCTGACCCTGAACCCGTCGGTCAAAGCCATTGCTATGATCGGCTGCTGCTACAACTTGGTTACAGAGAGGCTAGGCCCTGCCACCTACAAGCTTCCTATCCTCCGATCCATGCATCCCCGCCTGACGCAGGATGCCGTCGCGTACGATCCCCATGGATTTCCTATGTCAAAGCGCTTCGAAGATTACGAGCATGAGAGCGGAACAGGTGTCAAGCTGAACATTACAGCACGGTCCATGTCCTTGCAGGCTCCTTACAATTGGGGCCGGAAAGACAGCGAGGACTTTTTCACTCGACACTTCTATCGAAGCCTTCTCCAGCGTGTTCTGGTGGATCGCGGAGTTGTCGCAAAACCCAAGATCCCTGACGATCTCTACGGCGAGTCAGATGCACCCGAGGACGCAGGGAACCCCTTGATTGTGGGCTCTCTACGCAAATCCGCTTTTGTCTCCTTCCCCGCCTATGCTACCGCTGCCGTGGCTAAGCTTTCCCGTGATGCGCACTTTGGGGAAAAGGTGAAAGCTGGGATGGGTGACCTCACTGAAGAGGATTTGAACCGCTATGTGGAAGAGTACTGGTACGCGAAAAAGAATCTCAGCGTGGTATGGAGCTTGATGGCTTTCAGTGCTGCCTTGGTAGAGGCCATCATCGTGGTGGACCGCTGGCAGTTTCTGCGAGAGCACGACTCCGTCAAGGACTGCTGGGTTGAACCTGTTTTCGACTACCACGAGAGTCCTCGCAACCTGGCCGTCATTGGAATCAAGAAGTGAAGGGCGACCTACCTCATGTGACAGGTTTTGCCACCAAATGCCTGAGGCCTCCGAACCGAGCTGCAGGTGTCAGAAAGCAAGGAGTTGGGCAGCAGTAGCAGCAGCAACAGCCTCCCTGGTTCCGAGACATTTGCCATCCGGCAGGTCGGGCGCTTTATTTCCCGCCTGAATCAGTGTTCTGGCGACCTGCGACTGGCCTGATCTAGGCCGCGATGTGCACACGCGACTCCTCCGAAGTGAGACCATGCTGGGGGTCCTCTCCACGTAGATATGATGTGACCACGACCAATAGACGATAGACGATGGACCAAAAAGAAAAAGATTAGCATAGAGGATTATGTGTAGATAGATAGTGCGACAAATTCACCGACAGCTAGTGTACTATGTCGAAAGCGCTGCTGATCGGTCTAGAACTTTATTCCATCAATTTAACCGCTTCCTATGGTGCTTTCTCCTCGCTTGAGTAATATTAATGATGATGCCTAGTTTTCTAGGCAGGCACAATTCCGATTGAGTATACACGGGACAATTGTGTGGGGCTCAGGGTAAAACAGTAGGTAGTCCACCGATTAGGGTCGAAGGAAGCCTTAGGAATGGGCAAAGGCGAGGGAATTTAAATCCAAGACAAAAGTCGAGACCCATAGTTATTTTCCCAACCCAAAGGTTTCAGGGACTAGTAAATTATCTTTTTTAGTGGGCGGCACCCGCGGGTTCCGAAACGGTTGTATGTCATCTCTTTCCAGTTGCCAATTCCTCCGTTACAGCAACCTGCAATCTGCCCCCATCCCAATCAGGCACGCTATCGACATTCCTCCTCCCCATTCATTCTCCAACGTTATGGACCATCTGGAGGCCGAGGGTCCCGAGAGCGATGGGAAGGAGTCACTTGGCAGACGTGCAGTAAGTCAATCACTTGATGCTGCTGCTGCGTGCTACCAGGTCACATGCTTACTACTCTACTCGCCTACCTGCAGTGTGACCAATGTCGTTTGCGAAAGGTACGAGACCAACTGTCTAGCTGTAACTCTATGCAGCTTCTCGCTTGCCTGATATCCTTGCGTCGGCTCACTGACTTGCTTGTCTGTGTCTGTCTTCTTATCAGATACGCTGCGACAAGCGATCCCCGTGCTCCAACTGTCGCAGTTCACAGATTATCTGCCGATCGACCGGGGCAGGCCAGAAGCCTCAAGAGCCGCGGAAGCGGGTCTTGATCTCCAGTCAATAGTATGTGTGCGACCATCCTGGAGTATGTCTTTCGTTCCGATCTGATCTGTGCCCCACATCCAGTGAAAGGAAGATCGATCTGATCGAGGAGCGCCTGGGGAGCATTGAGGACCTGCTCCGCGAACTTCGGTCGAACACGGCGACGACCAACAGTGTCCCGGAGCCATACTACCACTCCACGCCCATCTCCAGCCGCATGAGCCCCTCCGTCCCCGGCCATGCGTCGAGTGGTCCGGCTCCCGTGGAGGACCCCGAGGCGACCCCCGCCTTCGAGGGCAACTCGTCTCTCGCCGCGCACTCCGCCTACGCCAGCGAGTTCCTGGAGACGGCCGTCTCGCGCAGCGCGCTGCAGGTGTCGTCGCCGACGATCCAGGCGGCGCTTTCGACCTTGAAGCAGATGGTCAGCATGCAGGACCACCAGGCGCACTCGCCGGCCCGCGAGATCCGCTTCCCCAACCAGAAGAGTATCCTGGGGTCCGGGATCCGAGACCTAGCCATGCCTCCCGTGCAGGTGGTCCTGTCGCTTCTCCGGAAGTTCAAAGGTACCGGTCTATCCCTGCAACGATAGTATACGCCCTCATCACTCATCTCCAGTGCTAGAGAACCCCAACAGTCTGCAGGGGGTCTGTCCATTCCTCACGTGCGAGCGACTAATCGAGAAATGTCGGGAGGTCTACTTCGCCACCGACGAATTCTCGGACGCGGCGTTCATCGTCGTCCACGGAGGTCTCTATTATGTGATCAGTGACTGCATCTTCTCCGTCGAGGACCCGAAAACGCGAGACGAGTACCAGCGGTATCTCCGGCTCTGTCAAACCAATATCGAAACGGCGTTGGCCAACCTGAGTATCTGTATGCCGGCCAGAGCGGAATATATTGAAGCTCTTGCGTTGGGGGTAAGGACTCTTCTAGATGGGGGCTCTCTTGACAAACTGTTGCGGATACTAACGGCTGCCTATGTAGGCCCTCTATGCGATCGAGATGTCGAAGCCGTCGTTCGCTCTGACATTGACCTCTACGGCAGCCCGACTATGTCAGACTTTAGGGTACCATCGAGCTTCCTCGACCGATCCCAACAGTGACATTTTCAGAGGACGCCAACTATTTTGGACGGTTTATGCCCTTGACAAAGCGATATCCTTACGTTTAGGACGGGCATCGACAATCCAAGACTATGATATCACTATGCCGGGGCCGAACGACGTCACTGGAGCAGAAGAGCCCTGGAATAGCATTTTCCAGATATGGATCAAATTCGCCACCATTCAAGGCCAAGTGTACGAGCGACTATACAGCCCTGCGGCATTGTCGCAGCCGGAGAACGAGAGAGCCGAGCACGCCCGTCAGCTCGCTGCTCAGGTGATGGAGACTATTGATGCACCATTCGATGTATGTGTTGTGCCACCTTCCTGCGGGTCAAAGCAGACGGCTGATCCATCACAGCACATCATGAACACCCAGAAGATATCCCACATGGACGAGGTCTACATGATGTCGGACAAAATTGCCCGAAAGTCGGTGATGACCCTGATATATCGAGCGATTCCTCCATCGCGAGACTCGCAAAGCACATTCGTCAAAGAATGCATCACAACGGCTCGGGAGGCACTCGAACTACTGAAAGAGACCATGATCGAGTTCAAGGGAATGACTGAAAATTTCAAGGCGTCTTATCTCCACTGGTACGTTGGCTTCCAGCAAGGTGTTCTGTGTAGATACTCATAGAGGTTCTTGCAGGACGGTTCTCTACGCCCCCTTCGTGCCGTTTGTGGTATTATTCTGCCACACAATAGCGACGTCCTCGTGGGAGGACCTGAACCGTCTGGAGGAGTTTGTGCTCTGCGTGCAGCCGAACTGTTTTCTTTCGGAGGCCATTGCCAAGCTATACCGCCTGTGCCAGGTGCTCAGTAATGTCGCGAGGCTGTACATTGAGGCCAAAGCACAGGCGCAGGCACAAGAGGATCAGAACCTTGTGTCGGTTGGGCAGGAGTTCGATACCTATCTAAGTGCGCTGGGTCTTGCTCCTGCATCGAATCAAGAGGGCGGGGCCGTGTGGACGTCGGCGCCTTCCACAGCGGGAGCCGGGGCAGTATCCGGGGTCATGAGGTCTGGGAATGAGGGGCCCTACACTGAAGCTCCTATGCCACAGACGGATCAATTGGGGAATTGGTTCTCGGGCAATCAGCATATGATGGGGCTACTGGAAGAGGATCTCTCTGTTTTCGATCCTTCGTGGACCGGATGAACAATCTTATTGGTTTTCATGACAATGTTTGTCTGGTGGCTCGGTATTGAGCGCTGGTATTTCACCAAACTCACTAACAGCGCTCGATCGAGTCACTCCCTAGTCCGCGCGTCGCCGGAAAACCTCAAATACACTTGCCTCCATCGATAATCATCTCCGCCCCATTGACGAAGCTCCCCTCGTCACTCGCGAGATACACGCACATGTTGGCGACGTCGTCCACCTCCGTCAGCCGTCCCAAGGGCACATTCTCGATGAACTTGTCCCGGTTCTCGGGCGTATCGTCCATGCCGGTGAACAAGGAGAACAACCCGGTCCCCGACAGCAACGGCGAGACGGTGTTGACCCGGATATTGTGCGGACCATACTCGGCCGCGAGACCTTTGGTTGCCTGTCGTCATTTGATCAGCAGTCATCAGCAATGTCTCCAAGCATCCACCACCACCAAACGACCCCGCCCTCCCCAAGAACCACGAGGTTGTGGGACACTCACGTTCGAAACCGCCCCCTTGGACGCATTATACCACACCAACCCCGGCCGCGGCCTCGTCGCCCCGGTCGACGAGATATTGATCACTGACCCCCGCCCCCTTGCTCCAGCAGCCGCTTCACAAACACCTGGCTCCCGAGAAAGATACTCTTCACGTTGACCGTGAACACCCGCTCCCACTCGGCCTCGGTGACCTCGACCGTTGGCTGCATCGACAGTCTAGTCAGCATGACCCAGTCCCGCCCCTCTCTGTCCCAACCCATTCAGACTACAGCAAAGGGGATACCTTATTCCGATACGTCGTCCCCGCATTATTGACCAAGACATCCACGCGCCCGAACTTCTGCACCGCCACCGCCACCACCCGCGCCCAGTCCGCCGCGACCGTCACATCGACCCGCTCGAAATGCAGCGCCGTCGGCGCCGTGGCTGCCAGCTCCGCCCCGGCCGCGGCGTTGATGTCCGCGATGATCACCTGGGCGCCTTCTTGGTGGAAGCGGCGCGCGATCGCCGCGCCGAAGCCGGAACTTCCTCCTTTGCGTGGGGTGGGTTAGTTGGTTGAGTTGAGGTTCAATCTGGTTGAGATGGTTTAGGGTGGGTTGAGTGGGATATGGGGTGGGTTCGAGGTTTGGGTGTGGGTTTGGACAAAGAGGGAAGGAGGAAGGAGGTGAGGGGACGAGAACGTACCGGTAACAATGGCGACTTTGCCGTCTAGACGGGGCATTTTTGTTGTGTTGTTTGTTGAGGAACGCGGTAGGGTAGGGTACGGTTTGGGGGAGTTGTATTGCGGAGGGGAGGATTGGTGTGGTCCTAGTCTTTGTCTTTGAGGTGGTTAAGGGTTGAGTATAGGATAGGTAACGGGCTGTAAACTGCTTCGAGGCTAATCGTATATCCCTTGTATCGCTTCCCTGGAGATCGAAAAATGAAACTGGGGATGTGGGTGAAGTCAAGCGACGACTGTTTCAAACGGAGAATGAGAGAGGGAGGGAGGGCAGGGAGGTGGGTAGATGCTGGGTTCTTGTAGCTGGAGCGGGGATTTTTGTACCGTGAGGTAGATGATCGACAGCTTGTCAGCTCTAGCCTATAGGTTACTTACCCCGCCTTGCAGGTGGGACAGGTCACAGCACAGCACAGCATAGTGCGGATACGGGGTTCGGTCCGGGGTGACGGGGAGAGTTTTGGAGGTGGAGGTGGAGGTGGAGGTGGAGGGAGGGTGGGGTAAGAGAGGGGTTGATAGTTATGGTTAAGTTGGTTAAGTTCCTGGGTTGGGTGACTTCTTAGAAGCACTTGCAGAGAACTTATGCTCAGCATGCTCGGATTTTGGTTGTTGATTGTGGATTTGAATGCGAAGTAGAGATGGAATGATGAGAAAGGCAGTTTAGTTGGAGTGTTAACTTAGAGGATATTATACAGTACTTGAGATACGAGTTTAATGGTATGATGATTAAATGGAAGGGGGAAGCTCAAAGCACAGTCGCGGTCGATGATCGATACGTCCATTTGGTGGGTTAATCAAATACATGAATACAGTAGAATTGAATATATGCAGAGTCCAAGGGTAGTATCAAAGTAGGAGAATAATGGGCACCAGAAAAGATATCAAAAAGTACATCAAAGATAAAGAACCGACCCCCAAATCAACCATCTGCGAACTTGATCGCGCGCTCCTTCCGCAGCGTCGGCTCATCTTCCTCCCGCTCGTTGGTCTTCGCCGCCGTCGCGTCCAGACACCGGATCATGCTCTCGCAGAGCCGGTGCAGCACCCACTCAGGCTCCGTCTGGCTGGCCAGCATGGGGCTCGTCTCGCCGATCCAGTCCCAGTTCAGCACGCCGTACTCGTCCTCGCGCAGCTCGACGCTCGACGTCGGGTCCGTCGCCCGAATCAGCCGCGTGAACTCGACCCATTCCTCGTACGTGTACTGCTTCGGCTCCCCATTCAGGGCGTCCCGCGTCGTGCGCTGGATCGCGAGCGCCAGCTCTTGCGCCTGTCGGATTTCGGAGACGGGGCCTTCGTCGGCATCCGCAGGGCCCGGTTCGGTCGCGAGCTGATCGATGGTCTCTGCCTCCGGCTTGGTGCCGCTGTTCTGAGGGCTGGTGCTCGGGGACAAGTCGCTGCCCCGCTTGGCGCCGATTTCCGGGTCCCCCCCGTCGTCAGCGGCGGGTCCGATGGGGAAGCCCTCGGCGACGCGCTTGTGCTCTTTGCGGTGCTTGAGGGCCGTGTACAGCGGCGGGATCTTGCGGACGAACTTGGCGTAGCGGCCGGATTGCGGAAGGACGGTCCAGTCGGCCGCGACGTCCGTGGCGTGTTTGAAGCCCGCGACAATGGTGTCGCTCATCTCGGAGATGAGCGTGGTCATGGTGGGCACGGCAACGAGGGACCAGACGATGAAGAAGGGTTTGGCGGCGTTGGTCGACGGGGTGATATCGCCGTACCCGATCGTCAGGAGCGAGCAGAAGCCGAAGTAGAGCGCTTGAAAGTACGTGATGTTCTCCATCTGCCAGAAGGCCACCGCGCCAATCGTCCAGACAATCCCAAACATGATCAAGCTCAGCACGAGGTTGTACCACCGGCGGAAGAAGAGCGTTTCCCGCTGGATAGCCCGCATCGCGTCGAATCGGTCTTTCTCCTCCTTCATGACGACCTGCTTCGGGCGACCCATCAAGGCGAAAGCGTCGATCGTGGTGCGGACCGGCCGGCCGGAGCGCCGGGGTTTATATTCGAGCTGGGAGGCCGCGCCGGGCTCAGCGGACACGGAGCGGCTGACGGTTGCTCGGCGTTTGCGTTCCACGTGTTTGCGTATCACCTGCTTGTACTGGATGTCGTGCGCGAACTGCAGGACACTGTTGACCACGAGACCCAGGATGATCATGCCGATGACCGCGTACGGAAAGACGAGACCCCTTGCCAGCGGAGTCGTGGGGGTGATGTCGCCATATCCCAGCGTGAGAATGGTGACGTCCGAGAAGTATAGCGCATCTGCGAAGGAGATGTCGATCACATTGCTGAAAACCGCGGCCCCGATTATGAGCCACACCACAAAAGCCGTCGTCTGCAGAATGAGCGTGCGCTGGCCGTCGGTCAATAAGAAGTACTGCGGATAGTGTCCGAGAACATATCCGAGCATGTTGATCAGTAGTATCACACCGAGGATGAAGTACAGGACTGCGGCGATCACTGCACTCCAGTAAGCCTGCGAGTACGTCTCATTGGGAGGTACGGGGGGAGAATAGACATGTATCGCAGCTGTGATACCGATCAAGATGGAGGTTGAAAGAAACCAGAGGATGATCGACACAGGCAACGCAATGATGTACCGCACTGTCCGGGTGAAGTTGAACAGGAGGAACAAGTTACCCACCAAGCCGCATGCCAGCGACGTCGCATTGAGAGCTATGCACCTAGTCAGGTTAGGGCTAGATGCTGTGCGTCGGAAGGTTACAGATGACTTACCATCGTGGGTCTGCCAAGGACTTCTGGACGGGTTGCCCGAACGAATCGGTCTGGCTCAGAACTGTCACCTTCCATGATGAAACTAGCGCCACGATGGACATGACATTCGCCAAGGGAGCGGTTGTGGCAGCAATGAGCGGGATTGCTGTCGATGCTATCCACCAGTTTTGCGGTTCATCGTCGTCGGCCGGTCTCAGATGGAATGGGCTTCGAAGCCGCTCTCCAAGCGACTTCCTCTGTTGCGTGCGAGGGTTGGACGAGCTATCTGGCATGGTTGCTTTGTCTTGGGAGTAAGCGGGCCACGGCCGCGTTCTGGCTAGGAGTGACTCCAGGAGTCCAGTGGAATCAAAAAAGAGGTTCCATGGCGATATAATCAATGACAAATTTACGGAATAATGAATGGCACCTCCTTCTCATGGTCATATATACAGATGCCGATCTCGAAGGCAATGGATGGAGCCAGGAAAGAGACACGTTAGGATTCTCATTGGTTGTGGAGGAGTGGAAGTGAATTCCTTGTTTTGACTTGGCAAGGCGGGAGGAGATGACGCCCTGATGGAGCTCCCGTGACCCACCAACCCTGACAGCTTGCCCTAGACCTCCCCTTCTTTGGGACATGATGTCATTGCGGTTGACTCCTACCGTCTACTATTGTGGTGGCTGTGGTATACAGCAAGAACTCGATCGATGTTGTGTCTATTCGCAAATGAAACGTTGAAGATTGTTGATTTGCTGTTTTTTTTGTCTTGCGTCAGGTAAGACGCCCGGTCTGAGAAGTATAGTACTTCACATGATAGTCATCGTTGAAGACAATACTATGAGAAACAAGATCAGGTTTCATCTTTACAGCTAAAGCTGAAGAGAGATTCAGGTAATATTCTTCGACTGAAGCTAAGTTGAAATCTAAATTCGAAACTAACCAATTATTGCAAGCAAGAGCTACACGTAATCACAATCTAGCGCGGTCTGAACAAGTCCCACACTCATGACAGCTCCTCGGCATAGCCCGCGGGATTGCCCCAGCCCATCCGCAACAGCTGGTTGACCATGGGCCAGTTGCGTGTGCGGATCTGGTAGTTCAGAGGCTCATCCAGGATCAGATGCTGCGAGTGGCCGGTCTGGATAATCCACTGTCCGAACCCGGCCGCTCGGAGCTGTGGCCGCGCCAGCAGAGCCATGACAATCTGTCGGTCCCAGACATGCGTGAGGAGGTCGTTGTATTGCGAGTTGTCCAGCGGGTACGAGAGCTCTGGGTACTGGTACTGGTCTTCGTTGAGCCCCAGATTCAAGGGGAACCCGCAGTTGATCAGCGCCAGGGCGAGCTCCATATGCCCCAGGCTCAAGGCCGCTTCGATCGCCGACCTGCCAGATGCCGTCACGATCACCGGATCCAGCGCCTCCGGCAAGGCGGCGACAACGGCCGGGACCAGCCCAGACATCAGATCGCATTGGAGCAGCTGACGCGCGATAGCCTCATCGCTGAGATACGTGCCGTTGTCGTACGCTTGGCGAAGCAAGTTGATGTAATCCGGCATCCTACACAGGTAGGGCAGGGCCCCGGGCCCGGCGTTCGTGGCGTAGCGGGCCCCTTCAGAGAGAAGCAGTCGCACCATCGCGTCCCGCGCAGGGGTCCGTATCCCATACCCTAGAGGCGGCCCGAATTCATCGTGGCTGAGCTCAGGGCATACCGCGAAGTCCAGCGCCGTGTTGCGGTTGACCCGCGCCGTGGCGAAGATGTCGGCCCCGCGTTGCAGCAGCAGCTGGGCCACGGGGACCTGGGCGTAGAAGGCGGCGATGTGCAGCAACGGTCTGGCACTGAGGTCGTAGAGATTAGCATCGAGCCCTGCGTCTTCCAGACAGAACCGGACCGCGTCGTACCGGCCCTGGGCCACCAGGCGAGCGAGGGGCTGGCTTACCGGGTTCTCATGCCATAGATACCGACTGCTCCGCCGGTTGCCATGTTGGTTGGCAATAATCATCGCGTCGTAGGTCACCTGCGGAGGGACGACCGTCTCCCGACAGCGCGCAACGACCTCCTCCTGGACCAGGTCGCGGAAGGCTTTGCAGGTGCGTCGGAGCGTGAGGAGCGTGTCTGTGTCCGCGTACAGGACGACCTGCACGGCGATCTCTGGGGGGAGCGCTGCCAGCCCGATGTTGAGCGTCTTGAACACCCGCAGCAGCCGATTCCTGAGGCGTCGGCCGTGGTGTCGTTCGAAAAACTCGAGAATCTTCTGACTTTTTCCGGCCATCGTGGCTTGTGGTTCAGCGCTGGTCCGGTGGGGTGGTGTTGGATTTTCATGACGGCGAGACGTAGACCCTTGGAGTCTTTTATATACGTGCGCGTCTCCGTTTCTTGTTGAAAGAGTCGCCAACATAGAGGTGCTTTTCGAGAAAGTTGCCGGTGTTAGAGGTTAGAAAGCAATACGCTATCTCTTCATGTAGGTTGCTGCTTCGTTTGTCTCCGTTTTGTGACATCGCCGCAAGGCAAGGTGAAAAGATCGTGGCACAAGTTCTCGACATTGGCCAGCGCAATTGTCGCAGGTAGGCTTAGAAACAGGCAACGGAGTATATGTCTTAAATTGAAGGATTGGAAATGATAGGACTGACAAGATGCTATTGGAGATGGAGGATAACATATCGCTTAGACTATGAGGTGATCAAGGCGGTCATCAGGTGACTTTGTGACTCCAGCGATTGTCTTATGCAACAGACCTCTTCATCATCATGACACCTGGTGACGACAGTATTGGGAACTTATAAAGTTTCACAGAAGAACTTACTACGCCATGGCAGATGACTTCATATTCTTATAGTAGATGAGTGTAAAACATAGACAGGGAAAAAATATTACAGTGATAGATTAGAATCTCTGAAAAAGTGATACAGATAGTAATATTGTCTTTCTACAATAGTCTTGGCAGGTAGAAAACGTAAGTCATCAAAGAAACCCCTGCAGCTTCAAGGATCAGGGCCTGCCTTGAGTAAAGCTCGGATCTCGCTCCAGTTTCTGGCAACCAGAGCCACCCGAAGTGGGCTTCTTAGAATCAAGTCCGGGTCCCTCCATGCCTCAAAGCCATCTTTCTGCAACTCAGGCCGCTCTAGCAGCAGCTCAGCAAGCGAGGCCCATTTCCTCCAGACGTTCCGGGGCAAGACTTTCGAGACATAGAATTTAGGATTCGGTTCCAGTTTACCAAGAACAAACGCCAACTCGGGGTATTCTTTTCTGTCCCAATGATAACCCAGCTTAAGGCGGAATCCCTTTCGTATCATGTACGCAGCGAATTTTGGGGATGCGTGTTTACAGTACGGGGATGGGGTTTGTCCAAGTGCATCCTGGATCAATCCGAGCCCGGGCATCGACAGCACCTCTGGGATTTCTTGCACTATGACATCCAAAATGTTCACCGAGAGCTTTTGAATACAGCGTGTGATATGTTTGCACAGCGTATACCAGTCCGTAGTGCTGCCATCCTTGTACAGGCCATTTCGGATTGCCCATCTGAGAAGGTCCGGCCCGCCCGGGCGCCGGACCAGATAGAGGAAGCAATCGGCCGAGGAAAACACTGCACTCTTCTCGAGCAGAAGCCGAATGACCCTCTGATCCCCCCACACAGTGGCCGGCCAGGGATTATCGGTGACTCGTGAATGTATGATCCTCCCAAGGGCTGGATAATCGTCTGACAGATACCGCCGTTGTTCCGGGCTCAGCATGTCTAATGCCCGGTCCCCCGTCCACGTTTTCTGATTGACGTCAATCTCCGGGTGGGAGAGAAAGATCTGGATCATTTGGAGGTTTCGGGTTCGCACAGCAATATGCCAGAATGAATTTCCACAGAGATCGTAGTTTCTGTGGGGGTGGACGCCAGCATCCAGCACATTCTGCACGACTTGATAATGGCCGCGAATGATCGCCTGTACAAAGGGCTGTGGTATACTTTCGCGTCTGTGATCGATGGGCCAATTCGAGTAAATTCTATGTGGCAACCCCTTCTCGTCAACCCTAGTGAATTGCTCGTAATACTTCTTGGAGGGAAGAGCCCACTTGAGGCATCGCTTCTTCAGCAGGCCTCTCAGAGTGTCGCTCAAGGCTGGAACAGATAACCTGAAATTCATTAGCTCCCAATAGTTCATCTGTTCAACGATCACATACAAGATGTCCATGGGCAGGTCTTCCAAGTTGGAGACCCTAGCACGTTCCAGAGCATCGCCGGAGGGAATTTATCGCGGTCGTTGGACATGGTCCCCGGGTTCGAGTTGCTGATCTCTCTATCTTTGAGGTTGTGGCTTAACGGTTGTTATCGTGGTGTCATGAGGTTGACTCTCATTTGAATAAGGGTATTATGTTGGTTATTTTATATTGACTGAGCACCGACTCATACTCATAGATAATCGTCGCGGAAAGAGGATAACGTCTCACTTATCAAGAACTGAAGAGATAACTTCCACGCGCAATGTGGATTTTCTTTGTCGGGCTTTCACAAGTGTATACTTTAAAGAACGATTTATATCTGGTGCCTCTGGTCGGATCAGCGGTGATACATGTCCACGCTTGGTTGTGTGGAGTAGGGCACATCTTGAGTTATTCACTAAAAGCCTTCTGGTGCTTCTGTCGAACTTCCGGCTGGGTGCCTAGGAATTGTAGAGCCATCTGCTAAATGGTTCTTGCACATGTTTGGCTGCGAGTAGCGTCTGACGATACCGGTGAGCTCTAATCAAGGTTCGTCATCGACAGTGAGATGAATTGGCATGATCCCGAAGTTAGGTGCCACCCTGAAAGAGCAGCTGTAAAAGAGCCGGGTGCTCTGGGTTATTTGGAATCACGCATACTGTGGTGGCTCGTTTCATATCAGTGGTATTTGGTATAGTGCAGAAGAATTTTCTTCTTCCTCTGAAACTTACTATCAGTATTCCATCATCCCAGTAGGATAGCAGACTAATGGCACAAACATTCCGTGCCCTGCTTGAGAAGAGAATACTACATAACAATGTACTACTGTATGTAGTCCATGATGTTTGCATACAGCGAAGCGGGAACAAGCACAGACCCTCCTCCCACTACCCAAGCGCACCCGCTACTGCTACTTAATGTTACCACCGCCTTCCCCACCGCTCGACCGTATCCAGCGTCATGCCGGGGATCCTGCCACCATCGCCCATATCAACAACATCCCGAAGACAATCCAACAACCATCCATTCTAACTACTGCCCACCTACACCCTACACCCCTGTCACACCTCCGCTCTATTCATCTCTCTACATAACATACACCACAATATCCAAATTGACTCATCATGGATTACACAGACCCCTTCCTCCAAGTCCAAGCGTAAGTATTCCCAATCCCCTTAAAACACCGATAAGTGAATCCACCCCTAAGCTAAACAAAATCAGGGACGTCCTCTCCACCCTACAAAGCACGCGACCGCTCTTCTCCTCCTACCTGCGCATCCGCTCGCTCGCCAAATCCCCCAGCAACCCGGAGCTGCAACAAGCGCGCTCGGAGCTCGAAACCACGCTGACCGACCTCACCGCCGACCTGGACGATCTCGTCGAGAGCGTGCGCGCCATCGAGCAAGATCCCTACCGGTTCGGTCTGGAGCTGGAAGAGGTCCAGCGTCGTCGGAGTCTCGTCACCGAGGTGGGCGCCGAGATTGAGAATATGCGCCAGGAGCTGCAGCGGGCAGTCACGACGGCAGACGCCGCGGCGGCGGCGAGCGGTGGTGGTGGTGCGGGGTCCTCACATCTGCCGAATCCGGCGGATTTTGATGATGAAGACGGGGGTCTGTTGTCGCCGTCCGGGGAGCGGGGCGATGATTACTATGCGGCCATGGAGCAGCAGCGGCAGATGGAGCTGATGCATGAGCAGGATGAGCAGCTGGATGGGGTGTTTCGGACGGTGGGCAATCTCCGGCAGCAGGCGGATGATATGGGACGGGAGCTGGAGGAGCAAGCGGTGATGATTGACGAGGTGGATACCCTGGCCGATCGGGTCGGGGGCAAACTACAGAGCGGGATGTCGCGATTGAAACATATCATCCGGAAGAATGAAGGTAAGGAAGTTCAACTTTTGGGTGTTCTATCCAACCTATCTGAAAATACTGATCGTCCCGCCATTAGATACAATGTCCTCCTTCGCCATCGCGGTCTTGATATTCGTTCTAATCCTCCTCTTGATCCTGCTCCTTGTGCTTTGAAGTGGAGAAAGTTTCGTCCGGTCCGCGGATTTTAGACCTTGGTCTTCTTGCGGGGACGGGACTGTTCCTCCTCGTCGTCCTCGGACACGTCGATGTCGCTGTAGTCGACCTCCTCGATGGATTGATCCGTGACTAGACCACGGTCAGTCGGTCAGTGTGAATGAGAAAAAATGCAGTCGAGGCAACCACACTTACCATAGTACTTCATCGCATTGGGCCAGAGGTCCTCAGCAACGGCGATGGCCAGCTCCTCGCCACCGGGGAAGATCTCAATGAACTCGAAGTCGTCCTCCAGATCATCGTCCTCGTCTTCTTCGTCCTCCTCATTCTCCTCCTCCACCTCCTCACCCTTGCGCAGCTTCTCGAACTTCTCCTCCTCCTCCTTGGTCGCGGCCTTGGACTGCTCCTCGGTGACATCACTGCCGCGGTAACCGAAGAAAGCGAAGAAGCTCAGGTCCGCATCCGGGGGCACGTCATCCTCCTCATCCTCACCCTGGGGCTCCTCGTCGGCCTCGACCTCATCGCGCTTGCGCATCAGCGCCTCGAACTCCTTCAGCTCCTTGCGGTCCGTGTCGGCGTCCTTCTTCTTCTCCGCCTCGGCCAGGTCGCAGGCGGCATCCAGCAGGCCCTTGGTGGGGTCCTGGCCCTCCTTCCAGTTGATGCGGACGGGCTCCGAGACGAGCCCGTCCCAGTGGCGCTTATGGCCGTTGGCGGTGGTGATGACCTGCTTGCGCCAGTAGAAGTCCTTGACCAGCTTGTCGTTGGTGAAGTAAGGGTTCTCGTCGCCGGTGCGGAACTCGAAGGTCAGGCGGAAGCTGCGGGGCTCGCCGACGCCCTTGTCGTCGACCTCGAAGCGCTCGACGGTCAGGTTCTTCAGCGTGGAGGCCAGGATTGTCGCGTCGGTCATGGTGATGTGCTCCTCGACCTCGGCGGGGGCGTTGAGCATCACGCGCGTCCAGAAGGTGTCGCGCAGGTCGGGGGAGGAGATGACCTCATTGCGCTTGGCGAAGAGCGGGCGGAGGAGGAGGGTCGAGTGGCGGACTGCAGCATCGCCATAGAGTATTAGTATATCACAGCCCCCAATAGAAGAAAGGACGCAGCAGCTGCCATTCCAGCCCAATGGCTGGCCGATTGCGAATCACTTCAAGACCCAGCAACGCCGTAGCTCCGTAGCTCTGCGACATCCACCCCACACAAGAAAAAAAAAAAGGAAAGTAAAAGAACTCACGCTGCTCCACCTCAGCCTGAATAAACTCCTGCTCCACCAGCGCAATCTTCTTCTGCGTCTCCTTGCTCACCTCCGGCCGCTGGATGCGCTCCAGCAAGGACTGGCTCTGCTCTTCGGCGGACATTTTGTTCGCTACAAGATATTAAAAAAATGTGTAAGGGGTTTGTGTGTTCGTAATCGGGATCAATACTGTTTATCCAGTAAGTCCAATCCTCACGAGCAGAAGTAAAGGTGAGTTAGGTAGATGTGGTTTGAGGAGAGAGGGGGGGGAAAAAAAGTTGAAAGTAACGCAGAGCAAGCGGATTCCCACCCCCGGGCTTTTCAAAGTGAGACGGGAAGGGAAGCTGGCCTACCTGACTAAGGGTGCTAGGCTGCTAGCTAAGCTTAACTTAACCTAATTTAGTAACCAACCACTCTGGAGTGACTACGGAGTAAGTTACTTATAGCTCAGCTCAGCTCAGCTCAGCTCTTCTAGGCCTAAATTTCTGTTGGTACGGGAGGGTGCTGCTTACTATGTCATATACTGTACTACAGCATGGCTTTTCCGGGGGAAAAGAATGAGAGATAGAAGGATTTTTTCAAAGGTCCAGACTCAGCTACTACAGTCATCATGAGGGGGTAAAAGGTAAGGTACAGAAGAGTAGCATCGCAATCTCTTCCCTAACCACCGTAAAAATTCTACGAGGTACCGTACCTAGTTACCCGTGACAAACGGGCACGGGCACGGGCACCGGCACGGGGTTACACATGAACAAGCCCAACAAACCGCCTTCCGCCTTCTGCTAGAGTATCGAAATTCGAATTACATCTTAGTATAAATTATCCAAGAAGTGAGGAAGCTAATCCCCTACCCCCTAATCAATCCCATCGTGATTGGCGAGCACACACAGAAAAGTGGGATTCCTTAACCGCCATTCCCACTGTTTCAGGTACTTTTTTTCGGGGGCTAATTCACCTAGCTTGGATTTTTTTTTCTACATTTAGTTTCATGGGCGCGCGGTGAGTGGGGAACTTGGGAAATTTTTTTGCGGGTTAAGATAACCAGTAACTTATAGAATTTTTTCTTATGCTGTGATTACTTCTTTACTACTCCTTGCTAAATGTGTTTGAATAGAGGTCCAGGATAGTTTTCCTTACGGGCTGGACGGCTCTACGCTACTCTTGTAGTCGAGATCTATTATTCAAAGATAGAAGAATACTATTGATTGGCACTCGAATTGTCTGAATGTTGGTGGAGGTTTGGGGAGTGACGTCATTTGTTACTACACTTGTGCATGCAGAGCATATCTTCAGGCCAAACATTAGACAAGATGACTAGCTATTCTTTCTGTGCTCTAGATGTGACTGGGTAGGGTGGTCTCCTGCACTTGCTCAATCCCGGTTTGGGCGTGTATTTGTCGAGGTTATAGGAGAAGATACCAAGCCCTGTCAACGATGTTACCGATGAATATCACATATCTATACTCCGTGGACAGCGAAACTGGCTTGTTGCGTGTCTTGCACGGCCATCTCCCTAAATAGTCAGACCTACTCCAATAGAAGCATGGATAATGATATCCAGAGGAACAAGCAAATACAAATCTCCAGACCTCAACCCAGATCAATTCTGAGAATATCAAATTCATAAATCAGTAGCCGCCGATGCTCACAGCATCCGAGGGGAATAAATTAACTAGAAGCACACACAAACACACACACACACACACACATACAAAATAGCGACACCAATTCCATATCAACAACACAAATGATATGAAGGTGCGACAGCGGAAAAAGAAAAAAACTTTTGGCACGCGCGGATTGATCATGACCCTCAAAATCAATCCGACGTGTCCAATATCATGCCTGCATAGTCGTGACGTGCGTTTCAGCCAGAATATTATGATAAGAATAAAATCAAAAATAGAAATAAACTTTTTTCCGGAGGTGAATTGAGAGCGGCGACGCCCTCAAATCTTCATTCCTCTTGTTTGTGGCTTTCCCATTAAGGTATAGATCTTCTGTCTTTCTCTCTTTTTTGGATGTCTCTTGCCCCAAGAGTCATTGATAAGGAAAACCCAGGCCAGTTCGCCGGTGATGCATGCATGCAGGAAAAGACAACAAGAAAATGCACGCCAACAGGCAGGATTGCAAAGCGGTGAGTAGAGTGTTGTAAGTGTCGGTCGTGAGCGAGGGATTTAGCATTTCGAAAGGAAGTCCGACCGGTCAAAGCCCCGGAGGTTGGGTCCAGGCAGGCCATCAATCGATGGGATGTAATGTAACCTCCCCTTATCGCAAACCAATCGCGCCATCGGTCAGGTGACGGGCCAAGCCAGACTCACCGACACCGGCGCACGTGCCCGTCGGCTCAAACTGGACGAGACTAAGCATGAGCTTCCCACCACTACAGCATCCAGTCCAATCCGTTCGCTTCTTCCTCCACCGGGAAGACCTCGCGCGCATATTCCTCCATATCGCGCCACCCCTGCCACAAATGCCGGGCCTCGTCGGTCACACGAAGCGAAATCACCCCTCCGGGACCCTGCATCATTCCCGCGCCTGCGCCTTTGCCATTGGCGGGCCCCAGTCCCTTGGGGGATCCGGCGGCCGGACGGGAGAACTCGGGCTGTGGGAAGTAAGGCGCGTCGCACTGTCCGAACACCACCTCAATCGCCTCCAGCTGTTCTCGATAGCCCGGCGGAATGTTGACTTTCACTTCGACCTTGGGGACGCGCAGGTAGCGACAGGGGCGGCCGAGCGCGCGCTCGAAGGCAGCGCAAACTTGATTGGGAGAAAGAGTCTCGAATGTGAGCGCAATACTGTGGTCGTTAGTACCGTCTCCCCATCACAAACAAACAGCAAGTCAAACCTACCGATGTCCATTCCACTTCTTCGGCCCATCCTTGAAAATCTGCAGCAACGCGGGTCCCACATCATGTTCCGAGTCCAGCCAGGGCAGCGGAATGTCCGGGTCAAAGGGCGCATGCCACTCGAAACTTCCGTCCGGCATGAGCTCCATCTGGAAGAGGGGGTAGGGTAGACTCGTGAAATTATTATTGTAGATTCCGGCGTAGACAAAGGTCGAAGGGAGGCCCAGTTGACGGATGTAGTTCTCGACGGTGAATTTGGGGGCCCAGAGCGGTACCGGAGGCCAGGGCCCATGTACCGAGTGATCGGGCATACTGCTGTAGATGTAGTGTTGGATGGTTCCGGCTCGTTTGGCGGCGTCGGCGAGGTCGCGGCCGATTGCGACTTCGTCGCCTGATTGTGAGGTGGTGTTGATGAATGCAAGGTTGGCGCCCTCGAATAATGCGTCCATCAGGGGAGTGTTGCCCAGCAGCGGGCCTTGGAATAGAGTGACATTCGGAAGCTCCTGCAGCTCCTCTGCGACGAAGCCCTTGAGAGAATGGATCTGAGCGCGCACATTGTGTCCGACGGCCGAGGCAACTCGTATTAAAGACGCAGCCTGGCGACCCGTCGCGTTTACCACGGCGATGGTCTTCTTTTGTTGTGTCATGGGGAAGAGGGGGGGGAGAGGAGAAGGAGGAGAGAAGAAGAAAATGTGGAGGGCGGAAAGAATAAAAAAAAGCCTCCGACGGGCTGCGGGAGGAAAGAAAAGAGGATGCGGGGTAAAGAGGAACACGAGGAAAATCAATAGTAGAAGTGGGAGCTCAAGGTAAGTGAAGTAGTAGCAGTACTTGATCGGTGAGCAGACCAATGCAAGTAAATGTAGTTCCCCTCAATCCGAGACAAGGTCAGGTGGTATGCCACCAACACAGCGCACGTTGTGACTAGTGCAGCAAAGTAGCGGTGGTTCAAAGCAGGGAGAAACGAACGGCGGCACGGTGGGGTAGAGGAGAAAATGTACGTGGAGATCACTGTTCACTATTGAACAACCTCTCCAAGGCGATGTTTGAGAAGGGGAAATTATTTGTTATGTAGCTCAGTGGGCTAGTAGTCCCTGTTGTCGCGACGGATTTGTTCAGTAATGCCGCAATTGAAGAAATCGATGATGCAAGATAGCTGCTGCTGCTGCTGTTGCTGCTGCTGATGAAAGGAAGTTGCTTTCCTGGGATGATATCCGTCGGGCAAAAAATATGAGGAAATCGCCGCGTACTGAAAAGACTCCGCTGCCAGAGAAGTAGAGCCAAAAAAGAAGTGTTAAAAAGAAAATAGAAAAAAAATAAAAATAAAAGTGTTGGAGATGGCGCGGCGGGATTGTCGATAATCGATAATGCTCCAACTGCTCAAACCCTCCAAATCGGCGCAGCTGAGACTAAAGTTACTATACACCACACTAACTCGTCAAGAGCAGGGGGTTTTGGTTAGTTAATGGATAACAAAAATGCGCTGTTTTCTGGGCCGTTCAAATGCACACAATACGAATGCCCCTTGACCAGGACAAGGAAATGTGAATAATAAGAATCACCGGATACTCCAAGATGGGCCTGCAATGTGGATTTGTGGACCACCCCCGGGAGGCCTGGTCTGACGCCAGGTGAGGGAATTGATCTCACGTTGGTGGGCAGTGGGCAGTGGGCACCGATAACGCAAAGCCTCCCCTCCCCTCAAATAGTCAAGTCATAATAACCAGGTGAAAAATAAGGGGAGAGAAAAATACTGAGAACAAATAATAATGGCCCGGCAAGGAAAAAAATGAACACCAGACTTACAGGAATTTCCCGTGCTACCAAAGAATTGAAGCCGAAACTGATATCCACAATAGCACTGCAAAGAAAAAAAAATTCCCAGTGTAGCCCGTGGATCAGGCCCAGTGCTTGGTTCCGAGATTCGCACCCACAACCAAAGGAGACCCTAATCAGCCCTGCTGGCCAGAAACAGTCGATATATGCACGAGGATCGCCTCGAGAAACGCAGCAGGATCTTGCTAAATCCAGGAACAAGAGGGGGATGTTATTTCCGGGTACCACACCGCAGACAAGGGCAGAGAGTAGGTAGGTATGAAGGTTTGATGCGGAACGATACTTTCTGTGTATGCTAGGGAAGCTCCCAGATAAGTTCGGTGACGCGATGTACTACAGTTCAACAAGAGCAAAAAGGTGGTGGGAAGGCACGCGCTGTCGGCTGTATAAGTAACTGCGGTCTGTGTGTCTTTGCGACACGATGGGGACCTGAGGAGCCAACAAGCAAGAATTGCAGCATCCACCATGTACCCTAGGAGACACAGCCGACTGGTCTGGATTGGGATCGTCTGGGGTTTACCGCGCACTACACACAAGAATGGAGTCGCAGACCAGACTAGTACAGCTCTTCAAATGCCTCAAATCGAGCTTCACAAAAGAAAAAAAACGACTGTTGCGGAAAATGACGAAGGCAGAGCTTTCACGCCTCGTCCCGTGATGGGAGTGTGATCCGATGTGGTTTCCGAGGTGGTTTATATCGAGTAATGACAATCAGTCATAAAATGGGCCATGTCAGGCGGCTTGAAAACTCTGGATGAAATATCCTTTTCCAGGGTAGACGAGATTTAGTAATTCGTGCTCGCTTCTTACCTGTATGGCTGATCACTGAATAAGTTCTTCGATTGATGATTCTAGTTTCTTCGAGGCTTCCTGTCTGTCGGCCATCTCCATCTATATCCCACCTTCCCTGGCCTCGTTCTAGCGTCTACACCCAATTTAATCCCCGGGGATGGCCGTCAATGTCGGCAGATCAGGCAAGTCTACGAGATCGCCATTCTCAACGTAGCCCTGACAGTAATAGTGGTAGTTCAGGGCCTGGAAGGGCGAATTCGCCAGAAACATCCATCCACCAACTCGTTCTGGCGTGGCCATTGACTGGGTTTACTTTTACGTAACTCGGGATGCAGTTCAAGCGTAGTCGGAAGGCGAACTTCAAAAGATTCGTCCCCCATGATGGCCGAATGATGGCATCATGAGAGCAGTGGAAGGAAGAGGCCAGGGATTACGGCATTCTCTGGAGAGGTGATGTTATGGCTGATGTTATTGTTGTTCTACCCCCTCCCCCCGGACTGTACGCTGAAGAGGCAAGCATATCCGAACTCAATTCTAGAGAGTAGGTGAGCTGGCCCCCCTGTCGCGTATGACATAAGGGTCAGGAGGTGTACCTGTCGAGCATGAAGAGGAGTTAATCCAACAAAGGTATCAATGCGACGATCAAGGCTGATGGAAAGCCATGAGGGGGAAATGAATTGAATTGACAAAAGAGTAAGAACAATTAAAATGTCCCCCTCAAAGGCGATCCGATCCCGGCAGTGGCAGGCCAATGAGAGAGCGAGTCTTTGGCAAAGCGGGGAAGAAAAGCAGCACAACTTAACCACGCGGATCGCCCTCGGGCCACCAGCAAGCCATGCCAATTCCATCACCGCCTACTCTGACTGGCGATTAGCCTGAGAACTATATCGAAACTGTCAGGCAGACAGTACTCCTTCATCCTTATCACGTCTAGGGACTCTGGGAGGACTCTGAAGAAAAATTGACAGGGCCGCAGGTAATCAGAGCACTACCTACGGCGCATTTCGGTCAAAACCGAATCGCAGCCGAGAAGCTGAGAGACATAGCGAATGCCCCGTCGGCCATCAACCTGCCCACGTTCTGCTCCAGTCTCCAGACCCATATCCTTCGGCGATGGATTCCCCCTCACGCCGGCCAATCCGTGCGCCGCACATTCTCACGCGTCCCTGCCAACTTGCCAAGACTGGGTACGGTGCTCGGATGAAGCGGATCGTCACTTATCCTTGATCACGATCACCAGGAGTTGAAGATTTTTTCTAGCTGCTAAATGGATGGGTACTATAGTCGGAGTTTTCAAAGCTAACGGACTCCGCTGGGGAGAAGTGAACAAAGGCGCCGGTTGTCCGTGTCAGTGTCGGTGTCCTCCGTATCAGCATCCCTACGTGTACCCTGATTCAACGATCTGAAAAACCGGGGGGAATTCCCCAGAATCAACCCCTCCGGACAATCCGCCCCGTTAGACCGAGGTGGCGGGGTCAGCTGTAGCGGTTTTTTTCACCTTTTCTGGGGGAGGGAGAGAAGAAACCACGATTGCTTATCTGATGACTCATACCAATGGAGAGTCTCCTGCACAATCCGTTGAACCCCAATAAAGCTAAAACAGCAAAATACCTACCCCGTAAGTGGCAGTAATCGCGCAAGAGGAAGCGGGGTATCGTGGACTGGCCGCTGGCCTATCTTGTAAGGGCACCTTTGCGACGTTCTAGTGTAGTAAATACAGGGCTGGGCTGAGGCTGGACTGGGAGACTAAATGCTGTCATGGTGCGTTTGCTCCATCCAGTCCCCATTCTCCGGTGAGAGGGTGCGTGCATGACCCCGGTTCTTTCAAAGCCCGTGCTAAATTTTTTGGGTTGATGTCTCCGCGGGCAATTTCGAGACGGCTTCTTTAGAGGTATTATCACTCCCGTGACCTGCCTAATCGGTCTACCTTAATGTCGGACTGTCCGCTCGGAACCGCGGACCGCTCCGAGGATAGCATGTTTTGTGCTTGGTGACTGACTGTCTCTTTGATGGTCTCAGTGTTCAGGCTGTCGGTCCAGCCCGTTGCGAGCTGGGTCAGGATCTCGCCACCGGTCGTGACACATTTTAAGATCTAATCGATATGTTTGTTATCGGATGCGCTGAGGATGAGGTGATTCTTTTGCGGGGCTCGGTTAGGACCAGCCGTTGTTGATTGCTTGGTGTGCCTGTGGTTCTAAGGGGACGACAACTGGGTGGTCACTCGAGATCTTGCATCCCATTCTGCTGCTTTTTGCGATAGATGCAGGGGCTGCAGATGTGAACAAGCTTTATTCTCTCTCTTTCTCCTTTCTCCTTACTCCCCCTTCTTTCCATGGCTTTGAGTCTCTTTGATCGTTGTCGCTGCCGCCTGGCTTGTTGGCATGTGTTTTAGTCAGTCCGTGGGTCTCTGATTCCGTGGGAGCCGTAGCAAATCAGATATATGACATGCGTATGGGTCAAGATGACTGGGGTTCAAGAGAAGAATCCTGCTGCAAGGGACGCGACACTCGAAACTGGTGGATGAGTGGACAAGGATCACGGACTGAATCCGTGTGGATTATGACGATCTTATAGCGATCAATGGGCCCAGGGTCATTGAGATGATGGTTCGGTGGAAGCAGCAAGTAGCAGATGCAAGTGAATCGCTGAGAAAACTAGAACATTGACTGAGGATGATTAAGAGATTGTCTTCCGAGCAAGATTGGCAGCTACAATTCGGGCCTGAAGGATAGATTGCTTGACTAGCCACTTCCATTGACGGGTCATCTGGGAACGAACAATACGTACCACACGGCTAACTAAATCTCTCTCCGTATTAGTGGTCATAAAGGCTTTCATGGGGACTTGGTAGTCGTGGTAAACCAAGAGATTCATTAAAAGTCAATCATAAATACAGCGCTGGTACATAGGCCATAATCTATAGTCAAAAACACATGGAACCCTATAAAACGAAAATAACCGTGCTGGTCCAAGCCTAAACAAACCAGACGCCGTCTAGAAACGCCAGTCCCCAAAGCACGTCTAATTGCTGTCCAAGACAACGACCTCAGCTTCCGCCTCTCCGACGCTCTCCACGCTAAGCACATCTCCGGCATTCACTCCTGTGATGAAAGCGCCGTCGCCCTC